GTTGTAATCTAGGCTCTTTGTGATCCCCACGCACTCCCATATGCCTCTGAGTGATCCTACGACCGAAACAGATCCGACCTGCCTTACCTGCGCCGTTACACAAGTCTAGGATAAGAATATATCGTACGATAGTTTGCTCTTTAGACTTAGTTAGCTTCTAGCAATCTAGCTGTGTTATAGGTTAAAAGGTGATTCCTTAAAGCTGCTAAGAGATCTGCTAATAATAGACGTTATAGGCTGCTGCAGCGCGTTAAATGCTCTTAAACTGGCCTATACAATAGGCCTAAACAGCTAAAGTAAGCCTACCTTCTTACTAAGTTAATATCGCGTTCTATTATTAGGGCATTATCTTTCGTACGTGAAGTTCGTGATGCCAAGAAAAAGTGGCACACTTGGTGATGTGGCCCGCTCGGTGATGGAATACGTTACGCGTTATATAGTAATAGTATAAGTGCTTTAAGGGCTACTAGCTTGCCTAAAATAAAATACTAAGCTTTTATACTAGATAGCACCTATTTAGTTACTTAATTGGTTATATAACTAGCGCTAAGTTATTATATTATAGTACTAACTTTATATAGTTTAAATATCGCAGCGCTAATGTAGCCCCCTAGCTTAGCGGGCTTATAGGTAGGTTAAATAACAAATTATCGGTAGGTTGTTTAACCGCCGCCCTAGGGCATGCGCCTAATAAGAAACGGTTGTGGTGTGGCGCGGGGTGGCGTGGCGTGGTCTGGGCGGGTAAGCTTGATATGTTGTCAGTAAGCATGGTGGAGGGTAAGCGGCTTGGCGGGTTGCAAGATGCGGCCGAGGGTACACATCTTATCTTGTATAGATTGGAGCAAGTATAGTGTAGACATGCCTGCAACTACAGGTTGGATGGCTGTTTCCATTGTCCAGATTTGCTGACGTACTGTAGGTATTGCATTCTCCACGTAACAGCAAGACTGTCCATGATGCACTGCGGAGATTTGCCCCGGGAAACATACCTAGCGGTACGGGGTCTTCCCTGCCTGCATCTTATCACAACGTCGACCTTATAAAACTCAAAATCATAGCGTCCAACGTGGCATACCCGGGATCCCGTTGTCATGTTAAAACGGTCTTCTTATAAACATGCAGATGCACGGTTTCCTCGCCAAGCTCCACGTCGCCTGGAAGCAGAAAGTCGAGTTTTGCAGTCTCGACGAAGCCTGCGTCAGCCATGAGGTGGAAGAAGACCTGCTCGCTGGAGTGCCGCATCTTCATGGCAATGGCGATTGTGGCAGCGGGGCTGGACGTGGTGAGACGGGAGAGAGTGGCGACTAGTGCTGGGCTGGTGCGTCCAGGTAGTTAGATGGCTGATTCATGGATGCGCAGGGGGCGTGTATGTATGTACCTGCTGTCTGCATTGTATGTGCAGTCGGCTGCGAGGACGAGATGGAGCGGGCGGGAAGGATTCTGTAGTTGATGCGGCAATTCTGCGTCCCAGTCCAGCTCGAGGAACTTGAGCGAGGCGCCTTCTGCTACGGACGCCTGGTCAATGTTTCGCTGGACGATTTCCCTGGCTTCGGGCAGGTCGGTCAGGAGGACGCTGGCGTGGCAGAGAGTCTGGGCCAGCGCGATGCCAACGATTCCGCAGCCAGTTCCCAGTTCGAGAATGGTGGGAGAGGTTGGTCTGGAGGGAAACAAGACACGGGATAGCTCAGTGTTGGCGTCTTTGACGTGTGCTACGTGACAGGCGAGAGTGATGCCAGCATCCCTAACCGACGTCAGTTGGCTATGCAAAGCCCATGTGACGAGAAATACCACAGATGGCGAGCGATGCTTTCTCCCGTCTCCTCCCAGATGCTCAGGGTCGAGTCGTCGGAGAGCTTGAAGCGTCGCTCAACCAGCTTTTCCGCCCCAGCATGCAGTGCAAAGGGCGCACTCCACGCCGAGACGACGCCGCACGCATCTTTTTCGGCAAGGGCTGAGTATTCGTCGTGGAGTTTGTGGGGCTCTGCACCGATTCTGACCCGCAGCAGCGAAGAGGGGGCGAGGGCTTGGGGCAGGGGAATGGCTATGGACAGGCTGCGCATGCCGCTCGTCCATTGCACCGTCCGCCAGACCAGCACATGGCCGTGGGCCAGCAGAAGCTCGGCTGAGAGCTGCACGTCATGGGGCAGAAACGAATCGCCGAGGTCGGAGGTGAGTGTGGCGAGGCAGCGCAGCTCGTGGCGGTGGGAGGTTTTGTGTCGGGCGATGCGCGGGGGTTTGAGGAGGCGGATGTAGCGCATGGCGGAGTGAATGGACAGGGATGGATGGCTGGGCTGGGCTGGGCTGGGCTGGGGACGTCGCCGTCGCCGTCTGGGGACGCCAGCCGAGCCGCATTGATCCCGACACCAGCGCCCGTTGCCATTGTCCGGACTGTGGGTGAATGAGTGAGTGAGAGAGAGAGAGAGAGAGCAAGAAAGAGAACGAGAGCGAGAACGAGAAGAGAAAGAGAGAGCAAAGGCGCGGCCGCCCGTTGCGAGTCCATGGGCCGTGGGCCCCGCACATCCATCTCCTTCACCCTTGGCCCGTAAGCGTCATCGCCGTCATCATGTATCGTCGCAGCGACCCGCGATGGAACCGCACGCTGCAGCACATCACCGAGAACCTCGAGCACGCCAATGACACGGCGCAGGAGAACATCTACGGCTTCACGCAGCGCTACATCGACCCGTGCTTCGCGTCGGTCACGCAGTGCGTGGCAGCGTGCACGGCGCCCTGCCTGCCGGCGGCCCACGACCGGCGGCGCCATCGAGGGCGCTCGCGCGGGCGGGCAGAGTCGAGCTTCGACTTCTACGACGACTGGGACGACGCCGACGAGGGCGACGGCCTGCTGGGCTGGGGCAGCGACAATCTCGAGCGCTTCCTGGGCGCCTCTGCCGGCTATGGCGCAACCGCCCAGCCCGGCCGCCAGCGCGCAATGAGCTACGGCCAGCGCAACCGCGATGCCCGCTACAACACGCCGCGACGCTCCAGCGCGACGCTGCCGCGCGACGCTGCCCAGGACCCCACGCTGATCCCGAGCTCGTCGTACTTTGGCTTCCTCGGCCGGCTGCCCTTCAGGATGGGCGCGCGCGGCCTGCGATACAAGCCCTCGGCCGCCGACCTGACGGAGCATCCAGGCGCCGCGCGACGCAGCCTGGAGCACCACCACGAGCACCACCAGCCGCTGATGGACGGCGACGGCGACCACGAGGCACACGCGCCCGAGAACAAGGGCCATCGCAGGCAGCGAAGCGACACGCGCACCTCGGGCCACACGACCGACTCGCTCAGCTCCCGCGGCGACATCTTCCCCAGCGAAGACGAGCTCGAAGACGCCGTGCCCCTCGACGACGAATTCACAATCTCGCTCGAACGCCGCTCCACCGGCCAGTACAACGACGACAGCGCCAGCAGCCGCCCGCGCTCCACCAAGAGCAAGCGACCCGGCGGCTCTCGCACATCGACACGCACCACGCCCGACGAGCTCCACCAAGAAGAGCACCCAGCCGGAGAAGAGCATCAAGGAGGAGAAGACGGCCTGCGCCTGTTGCAAGAAAAAAATGTCGACAGAAAGACCAAGGACCCCGCCCAAATGTCGACGTTGCAGTCCACCGTGTCGCCCTTGATACGCTCGCCGTCCGCGACGAGTGAGCACAATGCCCCACGACACGATGCCGTCCCGCTGCCTGCCCGCGTGCATGCGCAGCCTATGCCGGGCACTACATCTTTTCCAGTTGATGCGAGTGACCATGGGCAAAGTGGGCCAAGCAACACCGTTGGAGACGACTTTGTTCCCGCTCGCTTGCCCCAGTTCGGCTCGCCATAGCATCCTGTTCATGTCTTTTTTTTTCTATTACGTGTATTCCTATTTTCCTGTTACGCTTTGACGCCCACCAACAAAGTCATTGTCATGTATGCTCCGAATGACATGCTGCTACAATAACTACGCTTGACATAGCCACAAGAATTGCAACCATTGCAACTACACTTCCGTACTGCCAAACCTCCCACTCTTCTTCGTCAAGCCCTGGTAAATCTCGTCCAAGACGCCCCGCTTTCTCTTCTTTTCGCCCTCTCTCTCCTCTCTTTCCCTCTCCTCCTCCTCCTCTACCTCGACATCCTCTTCTGTCCACGCCTTCCACGCCGCAACACTGCCGTCTGCATGCCCCGAATACATCTCAACGTCATGGGCGCGCCAGGCCAGACTGGTGATTTTGTCTTTGCCCGCGTTGCGCTGCGCCGCCATCGCCGTCTGCGAGCGACGCAGACGCCGTATTAGCTTGCCATCAAAGAGCTCGTAGGCGAGAATTTCAGACTCGTTGGGGTAGAAGAGGACGTCGGCGCTCGGCTGGAGGTACTGTGCTGGAGCCAAGACGGGCATGCGCGGAGAGAGTCCGCTATTCCTGACCATGGGCCCAAAGTTTGCGAGCGTGTTGGCACTTGTGCCCGTGTCCCAAACGCGGATACGCGCATCGTGGCCGCAGCTAACCAAATGTCTGCCGTCTTCTGTCCACAAAAGCCCATTTACAGGTCCCCGATGCGCTTGCTTCATCGTCTGGCTGCGCGAATACGACGAGGAATGGTTTCCGAGACCAACCGTGTCTTCGAGATCAAGCAGTCCCACCTCACCGACGCTACGACGCACATCCCAGAAGCGCACCGTGCCGTCTGTAGCTCCGCTGGCGAGAATGTGTTCGCGGACTGGGCTCCATGCTGTAGAAAGGACAGCGCCAGAATGACCCGCCAGACTATGTGTCGTCGCGCCAGATCGAAGGTCCACAAGACGTACGTTTGGGTACTGCGTGGCGCATGCGACGAGCAGATGCGAGGCGATTGGCGATAGCGCAATGTTGTACACAACCGAGTCCAAGTCGAACGATGCAGACGCGGCGAGCGTTTCGCTCGAGTAGAGCTTCACCGTGTGGTCGTACGATGACGTGAGAAACGCAAGCGAGTCAAATGGGTAGAACTGTATCTGCGTAATGCCCAGCTTGTGTGCTTTGCTCGTCTTCTTCACCGCCGTCAGAGGCAGATACGTCGCCCCGGCTTCGGTCGCACTTGTCTGCGCTTCAAGATCCCATATGGCAATGGAGCTATCGGCACCTGCAGAGAGAAGATACCGCCCTTCGAACTTGTCAATGGTCAGCGCATTCACGCCCGAGACATGGGCGGGTATGCGCTCGTGCGGGTCATGGGGCGCGGGCAGGTGCTGGCTAAACGTGATGGCGGAGCATGCCTGTATCGCGTAGACGAGATGTGAGGCACAAGCGCGCTTGAGAACATGGTGGGGAATGAAGCCGTACGCGCGGTCGAGCACGTGTTGGTTGTGCATATGCGACTACATGCTTTGTGGTGGTGGTGGTGGTGAGAGTGAGGATATGACGTTGTTGCCTGAAGCTAGCGTGGCGCGCTAGTGAGGCCAAATCTGGGTTAGGTCAGCATTAGATTCACGCCAAGACCAACGCGCGACGTGATTAGATAATAACCTGTGCCGTCAAGTCCAGTCGGCTCACCTCTCTCAACCACTTCTCAACTATCAGCTTGGAAATGCCCAGAAGCGGCTTGCATCTCTGCTAGACTTGATCGTCAACTAGACAAAACAATTGTATTACGCATCTCCATCTCATGGCCAAGCGCAAAGCGCCTGCACCGAAAGGACCAAAGGGACGGAAGCGAAGAGCCAACCTTTATGATGCTGTCAAGGGTAAGACATGGCTTTCCGATTAGCTAGCTAGTTAGTCTAACCAAATCCCAGGCAAAGTCACACGACACGGTTTGGTGGGCAATGTTCGGAGCGCAAGACCGTCGAAGAAGCGACTACGGCCGGATGAGGTCCTGTTCAAGCGCAAGAATGCGCCAGTGCGGTACGAAGAGGATGACTACTACCCCGCGCATCGGAAGCTACCTGCAGACCGGCGCCTACCCAGTGGAAGCCTTGCAATGGCGATTCATGCCTACATTTCGAAATTCACTGTAAGAAGCGTGTTTCGGCGTAGGCCAGAAGCGTGGAGACACATGAACGAGAGTGCACTGCTTGCCATGTGTATTCTGATGGAAGAAACGGTGCGTGGTGTGCTGGGCGAAACGGGTGACTTGGCCTTGACAGAGGCGGGTGAAGAAAAGAAGAAAACGACAAAGGCTCGGCGGGACAAATGGACGAAGGCTGCAAGACGAGCAAAGAAGTGAAGTCCGTATCCCTGTATGGCTCAGTGTGAGCATTCAAAGCATGTATTAGAGGAGGCCGACCGGGTTCGCTGTGAACGTGGTTCGTGCCTTCCTCGTTTGATCACTACTTGGCGTGCTTTCCGAGCAAGGGAGTCTGGTATGCACCTCACATCCAACACTGCCCTTGTTTCTTATTCCTTACCTCACTTGCTTGCACGATCGCCGGTCAGCCATGGTCAGTCTATGGGCGCTCATGCCAGACCACACTAACATGTCCAGGCACCCAAGATTCAACCCAATCCGCAAAAGGCAGCTTCGATCCTGGCGTGGTTTCACAAAACAGCCCAGGCACACAGCATCAAGGACCTTGAGAAAACGCTGCCCCAGGTATCATCCATCAATGGCATGCAGGTCAAAGACTACCTGCAAGCGCTTTCGGATGACAACAAGATCCGAGTAGAGAAGATAGGCAGTGGAAACTGGTACTGGAGCTTTCCGGCCGACGAGAAAAAGGCCAAAGAGGCTGCTCTGCAAAAGGCGCAGGAAGAGCATGCCAAGGCCAGCGCCGTGGTTGCGGAGCTCGAGGCAAAGGTGGAAAGTGCCGGAGCAGCTCGTGCCGACGACGACGACATGCTGATGGAGCCTGGTGAGTCGAGCGACGGGAGACGCAGCGCCACGCTAACTGCTCAGGCGCGGATCGCAAAGCACTCATGACGAAGCACGCGGAGCTGGTCAAGGAGGTGGAGGCACTGCGACAAGAGCTGGGCGCGTATAGCGAGCAGGACCCGGTTGAACTGGACAAGAAGGCGGCTGCCACGCAACAGGCTCGGATGGATGCAGATAGGTTCACGGACCAGATTCTCGTCATGCAGGGATGGTTCAAGCAGAATGTAGGCGGCGGGGGCGGCGGAGAGGAATTTGTGCAGATGCTGAAGATGCTGTACGGCGATGAATTTGACGAAGAAGAGCAGGGCTTGCGCGAGCTGGTATGATGGGCTTGCGGGCCATGACAATGGCGCACCGGGGGCAATCCGAAATCCCGGCCGCCTTGTATGCCACACGGCGACATACACCTAGTAGCACGGAATGTACTGCACCAGCACTGCGGGCATGGGATAGTTTGCCGCATGTCATATCGACTCATTTACTGCGCCACTGTTTGAGTCATGTCGGGGGCGCATGTGCATGTGCATGGGCCCGCTCGGTGGCTGGAATTCGCTTGCAACAGCGTCATTGGCACAGCTTTGGCCAGACGCTCCCTCTACTTACACCCCAACGGTGCATATGTATCCAAGACGCCTCGCCGGCCTGATGTCGCTTCTCCTCCCGACCACAGGCACGCACTAGACACGCACCATTCACACTCGCACCATTAGACACGTACCATTAGACATACAATCGCAGACATTACTCCACCAGCCAGCATAGACCCCGCCATGGCTTCGACGGGCGCTCAGGACAATGCACAAGCTGCAACGGGCCCGCCACGGCGGGGCGGAAGAGGGCGCGGGCGCGCGAGAGGCGGACACGATGGCTCTCCGGGACGAGGGCGAGGACGAGGGCGCGGCAGCAGAGGCGGCGGCGGCGGCGGCGCATCGGCACAGGACAAGGGAAAAGCACCAGCAGTCGAGCCAGCCGCCCCAGCACAACCACGCGGCGAAGAGGCAGATGTTGACGGCGACAGCGACGGCGATGGCGACGTGTGCTTCATCTGCGCCTCGCCCGTACAGCACACGGCCATTGCGCCCTGCAACCACCGGACATGCCACATTTGCTCCATCCGCATGCGCGCCCTGTACAAGACAAAGGCGTGCGCACACTGCAGAACCGAGTCGGACCACGTCATCCTGAGCGACGACGCGGAAAAGAAATACGAGAGCTTTGCACAGACGGACTTTTACAAGTCGGACGACACGCTGGGCATCCACTTTGAGAACGAGGCCGTGTTTGAGGACACGCGGCTGCTGCTCCAGTACAACTGCCCAGATGGCGAGTGCGACGTTGCCTGCCTGGGGTGGCCGGATCTGCACCGCCATGTCAAGACGGCGCATTCCAAGATGATGTGGTATGTATCATGGGCGCCTCTGGTGTGGTGCAGTCGACTGACTCTGTCTCTGCAGCGACCTCTGCACACGCAACAAAAAGGTCTTCACGCACGAGCACGAGCTCTTCACGGCGGCAGATCTGCGGAAGCACCAGAAGTTTGGCGACGACAACCCTGGCGCCATTGACCAGAGCGGGTTCAAGGGACATCCCGAGTGTGGTTTCTGCAGACAGCGCTTCTACGGAGACGACGAGCTCTACGCCCACTGCCGAGACAAGCACGAGCGGTGTCACATCTGCGACCGGCGAGAGGGCGGCAGCCGCAAGCAGCAGTACTACGTCAACTACGACTCGCTCGAGATGCACTTCCGCAAAGACCACTTTCTGTGCCCCGACAGCGAGTGCCTGGAAAAGAAGTTTGTCGTGTTCGACTCGGAAATGGATCTCAAAGCACACCAGCTCGAGGTGCATCCCAATGGGCTGTCCAAGGATGCGTTGCGAGATGCGCGGAGAGTCGACATGTCTGGGTTTCAGATCAGAGCCCCGCATGAGCAGGGCGCAGGCAGCAGCAGGCGGAACGATCAGAGGCGCGAGGGTGGGCGAGGACGTGGGCGAGGACGGGATCCCAATGCAGAGCCAGTGCCCGCGTCGTCTGCACAGCCGTTGAGCAGAGCTGAACTTGCGTACCAGCGGCAGAGAGAGGTCCAGAACGCCCATTCGATCACGGGACGAGCCTTTGGGGGCCAGCTCACGGCGCCTACGCCCGGAGAAGCGTTTGCGGCCAGGCCGCCGCCGAGTGGCGCAGAGCCTCGTACCGTGACAGCCTCGCGTCCAGGAGCAGGCGCGGGAGCGACGGGGGACACGACGAATGGTATGAGCCAACAGAGCATAGACACGCCAGCAGCGCCAGCAGCAGCACCAGCAGCGGGTACAGTAGCCCAGACGCCGCAAGAGCAGGCCCGGCTACTGCGCCACAACGCCGTCACGGAACGTGCAGCCAATATGCTGGGGCACAGCCAAGTCAAGCTCCAAGAGTTCAGGACGGCAGTATCAGCGTACCGCAACTCGCACACGTCGGCGGCACAGCTCATCGAGGGCTTCTTTGCACTGTTTGACGCCGACTCGCGGGAAATGGGCAAGCTGGTCAAGGAGCTGGCGGATATTTTTGAGATTGCGACGAAGCGCGAGGCACTGCTCAAGGCGTGGAACGACTGGAAGGCCATCAACGAGGACTATCCATCGCTGCCTGGGACAGCTACAGAGCAGGCGTTGAGCGGGGCGTCGACGGCTCGCGGAGGGTCGCGTGTGCTCAAGCTCAAGAGCTCAACAGCGCAGTCGTCGCGGTCAACGGCCAACCAGCAGGCCAGCTGGTTGTCTGGGTCGTCGAGCAATGCGTTTCCTGCGCTGCCGACACCGGGCGGGCGGGTTGGAGCCAAGCCTGGACAGACGGCATGGGCAGCATCGTCGCCGTCGCCGTCGTCGTCTGGGTCTGGCGCACGTCGGGCAGTGGCAGCGTCATCAGGACGGGGTGGGGGTGCGTCATCGATGCAGGTGACGCAAAAGGCCAGCCTGGCAGATGGGTTCCCGGCCCTACCAGCGGCGGCTAAACCGACGAGCACCATCTTCAGCCCCGGGTACACAGGCAACGGGCTGCGGCGAGACAATAGTGGGCGGAACACGCCCGTGGTGAATGCATGGGGTTCCGGGACTGGGTCTGGGACTGGGTCTGGGTCTGGGGCCAACAGCGGGGCAACGACGCCGGCACTCGAAGATGCCAGCGCAGCAGCAGGCAAGAAGAAGGGCAACAAGGGCAAGAAGCAGACGCTGTTCCAGTGGGGCTAGATGGCTAGCCGTGGGCATATACCTGTGCCGCCGTCATTGGGGGAGCCAAAAGCAAAGGACGGCGCACGGGCACGAGAGGAGAGGAGAGGAGAGGAGAGGATGGAGGGAAAAAAGCAAAAAAGCAGATGTGATGCGCAGCACATGGGCGATGACAACAGTGCACAATCGGTGATGATGACAGCAGTGCGCGTTGGGGGAAGCGGTGAAGCAGTCGAGTGACGTATGGCGGGACACGAGGGGGGTGGTTGGGGAGTAGAGTTTTGCTGTGGGCGTGAGAGAGTGAGAGAGAGACGGAGAGGGTTCTGTTGTGTGTGTGTGTGTGTGTGTGTGTGTATGCGTGCGGGCTGGATAGGCATGAGTAGACGAATCGAAGCAGGCCGGCTGCGACGACGATGACAAGCACAAGGACGACAAGGACAACAAGAAGCAAAACAAGGACAAGCATAGAGTATGGAATGGATGGATGGATCGATGGATGGATCGAGGGCGAGCGAGCCGTGGGTGAAGACGGACGGACGGACTGGGGCGGACCACAGCGACGGGACTCTGTGACTGTGCATGCACATGTGCCTTAGCATTAGCTCCCGCGAACCCCCCCAGCTGGCCGGGACGCCACCACCGACCACGACGACTCTGTGTATGCAATGCACGCTCTTTTGCTGATCCCAGCCCGCCTCTGCCTCTGCCCATGTGCATGTGCATGCACGCCTTTGCCAATCCACGCGCTATCCTTGGCCCCGGCCGTGGCGCGCAATCCCACAGGAGGCTGCAGCGGCGGGCGTGTGTGTGTGCGTGTGTGTGCGCGTGTGGGCCCATGGCCGTCACGTGATGCGGCTGCTTGCAAGTCGCTCTATACAAAATAAACCCAGGGCCTTTGCTCGCTCTCGCCTTTGTTCCCCCCCCCCTCCCATCCACCCACAACACTACACACCACACACCACACCACACCACACCACACCACCCTCCTCCTCCCCCCTCGCTGCCACTCCCGCGCCACGCCGCCGCCAATTCGGCTTGCCTGCCTGCCGCCTATTCGGCCCTCCCGCCCGACTGCCGCGGACCCGCGCGCTCCACCATGGCCGCCAGCATGGCTCACTATCCAGGCCATCACCCCAGCCGCATCGGCACCGCACGCCCTGAAACCGTCGCCCAGCCTGCCTACCCTCCGCGCAGACCAGAGCGCAAGTACGAGCTGTCGGTCGAGCAGCAGCCCATCCGCGCTCGCATGTGCGGCTTTGGCGACAAGGACCGCCGCCCCATTACCCCTCCGCCCTGCATCCGCCTCGTCGTCTACGATGAAACGGGTCGCGAGCTCGACTTTAACGACATCGATAGCACCTACTTCGTCCTCATGGTCGATCTCTGGAACGAGTCGGGCCAGTCGGCCGTCAATCTCGTGCGCCACAGCAGCGCCGCGCCCACCGTGTCCATCAGCAGCAGCACCACCACCTCGTACCCCCCGCCCCCCGAGCGCAGTCACTACGTTGCCACGACCATTCCCGCATACGACCCCCAGCCATACCGCCAACAGATGCAGCCCCAGCAGATGCCGCCCGCCTACGGCCACACCCCCGTGCCCGTCGCCCAGTACTATCCCCAACCCCCGACGCCCAGCTACCAGCAGTACCCCGCTGCCCCCTACGCCCAGACGCCCACCCAGTCCTCCATGATCCCTGCCACCCCCATGAGCTCCAATCACACGCGCAACCTCATTGGCATGAACGCCGTCAATGCCTGCCGTCTTAATGATATCAACAACAAGCCCGGCTTCTGGTTTGTCCTACAAGACCTCAGCGTCCGCACAGAAGGCACCTTTCGCCTCAAGCTCTTTCTCTTCGACATTGGCGCCGGCGACGGCACAAATGCCACCGTCTCGAATGACGGTCCCACCCGTGGCAAGGGCAAATGCCTGGCCGTAAGCTTTTCCGAAGCCTTTACCGTTTACTCGGCCAAGAAGTTCCCCGGTGTCATTGAGAGCACTCCCTTGAGCAAATGCTTTGCACAGCAAGGCATCAAGATTCCCATTCGCAAGGACGGGCCCAAGTTGCCCAACCAGGCAGAATACGATGCCGATGATTAAATCTTGTCCACTTGGACTATAATGATATCTTCACCTGGCCTGGCATGATTGACGTTCTCCAAGACTGGCATGACGGACGGTATTACTTGGGACTGCAGGATAATGCCTTTTCTTCTTCTTCTTCTTCTCTCTCTCTCTCTCTCTCTCTCTCTCTTGCTCTCCATATCAACTTTATTCGTCGTCGTCGTCTTCTTCTATTACTTTTCATCTCCATCTTCATCAGCGGCCGGCGGACTGGTCTGGCGAATTCACGGAGTTTTTTCTCTCTCTCTCTCTCTCTCTCTCTCTTCATATTCATCATCAACCAACAGAATTGCTTGCACTCTATTCAAAAGCTGCGATACACCAACATACAGCTGTAAAGTCACAAACATGTTCAGAGACTGTCACACAGACAAGGAGAAACAAGGAAACAACCAAAAGGAAAATAAAAGGCCATGCCCGACGGAAACACAGAGGGGGGAAACAGCGGGAGTCGAACAAACGTCCTTTGAGGCGTATACCCAAGCATCCAGAATACGATGATTAATGTGTGTGTGGGCTTTGTTGTATTCTCTGTAAAAGAAAAGAAAATAAAATAAAATAAAAACTTGAATATGAAGCAAAGCATGGTATTCCTAGTCGAAACTTTTCCTTTTTTTTTCGTCATGTCCAGCAAGTCAAGCGAGTCGAGTCACACAAGCACACTGTTCATGGCAATGCATACATGTGTGTCCCCTTGCCATGTCCTGCTTATACTGCAAGTAAACATGAGTATTCTGTGCATTTTTTTCTTTCTTTCTTTCTTTTCTTCCCTCTCTACAATCGACACAATTATATGCATCACACAAATGCACAACAGAAGGGGGTATATATATATATATAGTTGCAAACAAACATAGAGTGCAAAAACATGGACGGCTATCCAATATTATACTTGTCCATTTCCAAATCAATCCAACTCCCCCGCCGCGCCTGGTGCTGCTGCTGGCTGCTATTCCGCCGCCGCCGCTTCCACCGCTCCTGCTCCTCCACCGGGCCCCGAGTTTCCCAGCATGCCGTCCCATCATGACTCGTCGTGTTGCTCGCTCCCCGCAGCCCCCCCGCAGCCATGACGTTGCTACTATTGCCGGCATGCCCTTGCTTGCCAAAGTCGTGCATGGCCGTCTGCTGCGATTTTCGGCTACTCCATTTTTCCAGCGACAGCCTATTCCGCCGCTCCAGCATCGCGCTCCCATGGCCGTTGGCGTGCTGGTAGTTGTGCACGCTGATGCTGTTGGAATGCGCCGCCGTCGTGGCCCCGGGACTGGAAACCGGAAACCCATTCGCGCTTAAACTCGGATCCGACTCGGCGCGGTCGCGCACAAGCTGGATCAGCTTGCCTAGCACTGCAAATTCGAGCTTGAGCTTGATACTGTAGACGACGCCCTTCAACGTCGTCTCAATGAGGTACAGGTTTGCGAACTCGACAGATAACAGCGCCAGATCCATCATGATGATGAGCACATTGACGGCAATCAGCTGGTACATGGTTTTCCGCACGCTGGCTTGCTTCAAGTGGCCGTTTGCAACTGTCGTCGTGTCGTCGAAACTGCGCGTGTCGTCTTGGACGGCTTCAGAGAGCTTGAGCAGCCGGATCGTCTCTTTGATGTAGATTACCGAGAGTATCGTTTCCTGTAGGAAGAAGCCGACCATTTGAATCTTTTCCATGATCGAGTACCCACGTACAAAGCGTTCGAGTGTCGGGCGCGATAGTGTGTTGGAGTTTGAGCCAAAGGTTAGGACTGTCGTGATGGAGTGGAGGATTACACCGTCGCCGATGATCATGTACAGAGTCCAGCGGAGGACCTGGCGCGAGTTCGTAACAAGGTGAAGGCGCGACCATAGGACGACGGATTGCCCTGTGTTCAAGGTACATTGTCAGTTCCGTACAACCCGCAATCTTCTTCTTCTTCCTCTTGCTGTCCCTTGAGCGCTGCCGGAGCGGTAGCCAACGTACCCGTAACCATGGAGTACCATCCAATAGTGAGGAGAACAACACCCACATAGCCCTCGTCTTGGTGCGGGTCCAAGACGCGGAAGAACTTGAGCAGAAAGCCCAGCGCATACGGTATGATGCCAAAGGAGCTGATGACCAGCGACCAAAAGTACAGGCCGTGGTAATGTTGAAACGTGACAAAGCAGAGGACGATTAGTTCAACGGAATTGTAGAGGGAGAGGCCGATAAAGAAGGCGATGATGATTTTGAGCGAGAGCGAGTCGCCCGTGTAGCCTGTTGCCGCCTGTGAGCTTCGATCGGGCCTCGTTTAGTTTCTGGAAGGTATAGAAGCAGAAAAAAAAAGCAGACTGACCTCCGGTTATGCCTGCGCCGGCCGAGTCGAGGGCGCCCTGTGCCGGAGTCGTCTCAGCCGGCATGGCAGCAGACGCAACGGTAGCGGCCAAGCTGGCAGAGGCGGAGGCGGAGGCGGAGGCAGAGAGGGTAAGCAACGCCATAGCGAAGCCTTAATTGGCGGCGTCTGACGACGACAGGGGCGCCGTCAACGTCGACATGAAATGGACAGCAGCGACAGCGACAACGACAGCGACAGCGACTGTAACGACGACAAGGACAACAACAACATGGGGCCAGAATCAAAATGGCCCACTTGATGTGTTAAGAGCGGGCTCGCGTCCATGGGTGCGGCACCATGGCGGTGCCTTGTGGCGGGACGTGCAAGCAGGCATCGCGAGGGAGCCGGGGCGCTTTGGTGCAAAAGCCGGGCCGTTAGGGGAACGAGGGCGGGCGCTTTGGTGCAAGCCTGCTCGCTCTCTCAATCACGAGGCGGGGACGTCTTCCGAGCACGAGCATGATGCTCAGCAACTGTGTGTGTGTGTGTGTGCGTCAGTCAGGGCCAGGGCGGTTGACTCGCCGAGCCGCGCCATGACAGTCTGGGGTAAGGGCAGATCGGCAGTCAGCCACGGACGACCGGCCCAGTGCCAGTTACGCTTCTTAACTATTACTATTCAGCCTCGTCTCCTCACTTGCCCTCGACATGCGCCTACGTAATGTTTTTGCCCATGACCTCGCCCCGCTTCTTGCCCTTTTGCTGGGCTGCTTCGTGCTTGCGCAGATCCTCGGGCACCTTGCTGATCTGGCTCTTCATCAGAATCTGCTTGAGATCATACAGAATGTCCGCGTCCTCGTTGCCCCAGAACGTAATCGCAACACCAGGCTTGTCGGCGCCCAGACGACCCGTGCGCCCAATGCGGTGCGTGTAGCTCTCGATGCTGGTCGGCATGTTGAAGTTGATGACCAGAGACACGTCCTGGATGTCGATACCACGACCCGCCAGATCCGTCGCAACAAGCACGCTCGTCTGCCCAGACTTGAGCGACGCCAGCGCAGCCTCACGCTGTTCCTGCGTCTTGGAACCATGCAGCGTGGCCGCCGAGAAGCCCATGTGCTTGATCTCGCGTGCAATGGCGTCGCAGTTGCGCTTGATGTTGACAAAGACAATAATGGGCGCGGGAAACTCGCCCGACGTCAGAATCTCCTGTAGTCGCTTCTTGCGCTTCTCCTCTCCCTGGATGAACTCTGCTCGCTGCTCCACCGTCTCGGTGGCCTCGCCCACATTGCCAACAGTCACAATGGCAGGACGGCGCAGATACTTCTTGGCAATCCGCTCCAGCGCGGGCGGCATGGTAGCCGTGTACATCATCGTCTGCCGATACATGTCTCTCCGCATGGCACTGGCATCCTCGACGCTTTCATCGTCAGGCTTCTCGTTGTTCACAGGCAGCGCCTCCAAGATCTTGTTGACCGGCTCTTCGAAACCCATGTCAATCATCTTGTCAGCCTCGTCCATGATGACATAGGTACATTGGCTGAGCACAAGCACTCGGCGCTCAATGCAGTCGACCAGACGACCAGGCGTGGCGATGATGATCTCGGCACCGTCGCGCATCTGGAACGATTGCTCTTCGATAGAGTGACCACCAACGAGAACGGCCGTGTTGAAGCCTAGGGGCGCTGCAAACTTGCGTGTTTCCACCTCGATTTGCTGTGCGAGTTCACGCGTCGGTGCAAGGATCAGCGCATAAGGCCCATCGTGACGATTAGCGGCTGTGAGGGGAGGCATCTCCATGATGTAGGCCAGAAGTGGTAGAACAAAGGCAGCAGTTTTACCCGAACCGGTTCTAGCGACACCGATAAGATCGCGACACTGCAGCGCAATGGGTATCGCTGCGCGCTGAATAGGCGAAGGCTCCGTGTAGCCGACCCGGTCCACGATGCGCATGAGTTTCTCCGGCAGGCCTGCCTCGTCCCAGTTGCGCATGGGATTTGGTATCGAGCCTCCCTTGGTAGCAATGTTGAAGTCCTCCTTGAAGATGCGCCAATCGCGCTCGCGCATGTTCTCCAGCCTCTTCTCGCTCCAGTGCTTGTCAAGCTGTGCGCGGCCGCCCTTCTCCTTGCGCCGCCTCTCCATTTCAAGCATTTGTTCGGCCCTCTCTCTGCCGTGCTCGGGGTCTCGCTCGATGATGGCCTCGATCATTCTCTGTGTCGCCTTGTCTGTAACCTCTTCGGAGAAGCCGCCCAGTCGGCCGCGGCCAAAGAAGCTGGCTTCTGCCTTTTGCTGATAGATGGGGTTGTAGTCGTGGCTTGTGTCTTCCTCCTCGTTCCACTCAAAGTTGAACTTTTTCTCCGTCGTCCTCTTGCGCTTCTTCTTGGCGGAGAATGTCGACTGGTTCTGCTCGGCGCCCATGTATCGCTGCCTAATCATGGCCGCTTCAGTGTCCTCGGCCGGTCGCTTGCTCTTTCGGTTCTCAGACGGCGGGGGCGGCGGTGCCATGTCTCCTCCGTTCCTGCGATCTCGCATAGACGACGGCTCTGTGGGCGCATCGCGCATCGATCGTGGGCCGACGGGTACAGATGATGCGCCCGTTTGCATCGACGCATCCTGCGAGGGTTTCCATACTGCGCCACCGCCGTTGGCCGCCTCTCGCCTTTTCTGCGCCTCTTCCACCTCTTTTCGCCGCTTTTCGAGCGCGATCCGTTCCCGCTCTGCCTTCGGTATGAACTTGGGCTTTGCAGCAGCAGCTTCTTTCTCGCGCTTGGCCTTGAGGATATCGTCGATGCTCGGTGGCTGCTTGCGGGATGGAGCAGCGGCATTCATCGTGTCCAGAGTACTTGGGTTACCGTGGCTGCGAGCGTCGTGTACGTTGCGAGGCAAAGTTGATTCCAATCCGAGCGTCGCGCAGCGCCGGGAACTTATCTGCAGGCACGCTAAGGCGACACCTGATCACGTGCCAGGGCAATCGATAAGCCGCCAGGCCATCCTGATGCCATGCTTCCTACTCGACTTCTATACTGCAGCTTCATACTTGAATATCGTACTTGAACACACTCGACGCAAGGCTAGCCTAGATCATGACCAGCCTGCATGCCTCTCTTCACCTCGCGACTATTCACAGTGCTGCACTCAACGGTTTTGATTGGAGGCACCTGCTTGATTACGGAGCTATCTTTGTCCTCTCATGAGGCAGATACCCTTGGTGATTGACACTAGCCTTGGGGCAGTGCAGTCTCATATCTGGCTATAGCCCTTGGTCCGCCTTCTGGCGCTCCTAACATGCGTCATAGCTCATAACATCATTGTATGCCACCATGTGCCATGCACCCTCTCAATCCTGCCTGCCCTTGAGTAACCGCTTCGTCACCTTGTCCTTCTCGATGATGTAGACGTGTGCGCCCCAACCCGAGAGGGCGTCTCGGTCGACGGCGTTGAGCAGCGCCTGCGAAATGGTCTCAAAGAGGTCTTCTGGGCCCTGCACCACTCGTTAGTCATTGATGCGAGCCAGGACAACACTAGCATCACCCACCAGATCCGGCTCCCACAGCCCCTCGCATGTACCAAACAACTGGTCGCTCGCTGTACCGCTCACGATAAAGTCCTTTGCAAAGTCGATGCACCCAATGCTGTCGAAGCCGCAGATGAACGGCTTTCCCGTCGTCTGGTTGATGCCTGCAATTACGGGGCTGATAAAGTATGGGCCGAAGCGCTTCTCGTACAGACTTGAGCTCACGAGGTTGGCCATGGTCTGGGGGCTGATGTTGCGCTCTTCGCGCAGACGGTACATGTTGACCTTGTAGCGGAACAGGTCGGACACGGTCGAGACGTCGGTGGCGAGGCCCGTCAGACCAAGGAATACGTCGCCGTATTGGAAGATCTTGGGGAAGTTGTTGGACACGGTGAGAGCTTGCATGCCGAGGCGGAGGTCGCAGGCGATGGCTACGCAGTCCTTGCCCACCATGGCCACGCAGGCGCCGCCGTCTGTGGAGGTTATTAGATGGGCATGCGGCACTGTTTTGGCAGAAGCGTACTTATTGAGAATGGTGACGACTGCCGCGATTAGCTGTATGCTGCGGCTGGGGGATGCGGGGAGCTTACCATGGCGGTGGGAGTAATGTGTTGCTAGACGGGGGTGTGGAGGAGAATTCGGAGACAGCGACAGCAGCAGGGCCGTCTTGGTATACGCGGTCGGAGGTGGAGAGCAGACGTGTTGCTGCGAGTGGTTGTGATGTGATGCACACACGCAGGTAGCAGCTCAGTACGCGGCGGGCGCGAGAAGCAAGCTCCACCCTGGACAAGGCTACTTCGCAGCTTAAGCCCGTCTTGGCATTGGGACTTTTGATATTCATGCCCGCACGCCTGGCCATCTGCGCTCGCACCCGCACACGATACCCCGCCATGAGCACCCAGAAATCCGCCGAGATTGCAAAGTCACTGCCGCCGCGCCTGCTGCGCTTCTTCCAGAAATATCCACCACCCGCCCTGTTTCCAGACCTTGCATCTCGACTTCCAACATCACCAGCGACAGCGAGCACCAGCCCCAATGCCAATGCCAATGCCTCCGTGAGCGAGACGTCTGCGCCAGCCGCCACGCCGATACCCTCAAACGCACCCTCAAACTCCGACATCCCGCCCGAGGCGCACAATCTTCCCTATCCAAATCCATTTCTCCCCCACAAGAACTTTGTTACCGGACGGTGGCAGTCGCCTGCCTATGGGCTGCGCAAGCAAGCCAGCCTCGTCAAGCTTGCCGCTGAGCATGGTGTTGTCGACCTCCTCCCGTGGACCATCAAGAAGCCTGGCGAGAAGGAGCGACGGCGAGTAGAACGAGGTCTGCAGGTCAAGGGAACGGGCGAGGGACAAAAGGTCAAGGGAAAGCTATGGGAACGGACGCTCAAGGGACGCTTGGAGATGAGGAGACAGGCCATGCTGAACATGCCGGCTTTGATTCAAGAGTGGAAGCAAAAGGGCCACGGCAGAGGCTGGAAGAAGTGGCCGAGTGGAAAGGCCAAATAGGCCCATGGACCCTCGAGTGCCCGAGGGCGACCTTTTATCCATGTAGTATATGTGAATTGAATTTATTTCATCACACCGAAGACATGAGTGGCCTAGCGGAAAGGCAGAACAGGCGCATCGATCATGAAGTATCGGAGGGCGGCATCTTATCACGGCGTAGTATATGTGAATTGAAACTATGGGCGTCATGGACTCGAAGGCTGAAAAAAAAAGTTGCTAACTGGGTATCCTCCAGAAGAAATCTATCTCATCCTGAACACTCTCCGCCCTTGCATGCTACAGGTGTGTGGGGGTGTTCAACTAACTAAATCAGGGTATAACGTGGAAACTATATCTATGCATGCATACATCCCCCCTGTACAGCAGCGTCACTTCCTCTCTCCCACGTCCACTCACATATCATGAGACTAAGACTGCCACCAATAAGGCTGTACCTCACATGACCATTTCTTCGTCTCCGAAGCCTGCTTGGAAGCCATACTCTCGCGCGTAGGCAAATGCACCATAGTTGTTCTCCATGTCAGCCACACTTCCGACATTCTTCTCCCAAAGGCCGTTGCCAGTCTTGTAGACTGGATCTGTGGCAGGGTTGTATCTGCTCGACTCTTGGAGAGCCTTCTCGGCCCGTGCCGACTCTTCGTACTCACGCCTGGCCATCATCTCATAGCCCGAAGCCATGTACGGCTCGGCAGCCATGACCTGCTCTAACTCTTGCTGCTTCTGTGCGGCATCAGCCTGGTGCCGCTCAAATCTCAGCTTCGCCATTGCTTCTTCCTGTGCCAGGCTGGTAGGGGGCCAGTCGTAGAGCTGCCTCGACATGTTGTAGTCGACACCTGCTGGGTGTCCCTGCCGCCCGGCAGGAGGCGAAATACGCCATAGTTCTAGTAGGCGCAGGCGCTGGTCATCATCTGCGTTGCGGAACAAATCGATCTGGGAAGGGAAGAGCAGAGACGGGTCTATGCTGTTCCTCAGAAGCACGGCTTCCATTTCCGACGCGTCCATCTGCGTCTTTAGGCTCGGCTCCGAAGCACTGCGGAGAGGAACATGGTACGAGTGGGTGTAATGCTGTGAAGCATAGACGATGTGGTTTGGGGCGGGCTCTGGCTCTGGCTGTTGGACGGGCTGGACTGATGGTACATGGGTCGGCGACAGACTCATATTGGCTGAGAACAGCCTAGCCAGCTCGTCCTGCTGCATGTTTGCGTCTTCTTGTGCTTTGGCCTGGACGTTGATACCCGTGGACACTACGCCACACTATGACGTAGGGTTAGTAGGAGTCGGTGTTGGCACTTGAGATGTGACGGCTTACGTGGGAGCAAGAGATGTTCTGAGAAAAAGCAAAGGGGCTGAAGGAAACGGGGGTGTCGTAGGTGCAGGAGCAGTGGTGGAGCAGCATGGGCTGCATGTCTTTCAACAACAAGTCGGCACAATGAGGGGTAACTTGAAGGAAAGGCAGCGTGGAAATGCTAGAGAGTAGCCGACGAGCGAGGCGCGATCGAGGCAAGGCAACAGAGCGCTGGGCGAGGGCAGAGACTGGAGTCTGGGGCTTGTTTGTGGGCAGGATATGGAGCCGCGGTTCTCCGCTGTGCGTTGGGCACTAATAAACAGTCAAAACAGTCAACGGCGACGACCAAAGCAACCCTAGTGGGTCAGGAGGCAAACAGACTGGGCGACCAAGCAAACAGAGGCGAGGCGAGGCGAGTCGGCGGAAGGGAGGATGGCTATCAGCAGCTACGTGGTCGTGGGCGTAGTCCTTAAGTACCGCCGTGGCCCAGTGTAGGTGTAGATAGCGTGCTGGCGGGTCATGCGTGAAGCGGGATGATTCTGATGATTTTGTCGCCCACAGTCCAATTGGCGACGACGTTGAAACCTAACCTGTCCGGCTAGTCTGTCAGCAGCCAATGAAGCGTCTTTGGAGCCTGTGAAGAGCAGTCGTTTTGGAACGACAACTCATCAACTGTGTACAGGCGGCTGCACTTTGACGAGCCAAGTCGCGCACAATTGGAGGGGCGCAGACGGGGAAAGCCGGGCGTTGAGCGCCCGCAGCACCACGCGAGTTGGGCAGGTCATGGCAAGCCTCGCGGCCGCCCGCCCGCCGAGACGAGAGGGCCGAGAAGCTGGGGGGGGGGTTGATGAGCGCCAGCCGCTAGACGTGGTGGCGGGCGTGATGCTCTGCTCTCTGCCCTCTGCTCTCTGATGGGGATGAAGCTTGGTGGTGGTGGTGGTGGTGGTGGTGGTCATGCTGGTGCCCATGCCCATGCTCAGGTGCAAGTGCAAGTGCAAGTGCAAGTGCAAGCGTGAGTCGGGGCGTCGGCTTGGCGCGCTAGTGAAGCTATGGAGCTTGTGTGCTTGCCTTGCGCAGACACACGATTGCCTGGAACCACCACCGCCTGGACGTGCCAGTTCCGCCATCATCCAATTCAGTGCCCTGCGCTGTGTAGCCCCGCCAACTGCTAGACCCCCAGAGCAATATATACGCCACCGTCCTAGAAATCCACCCCATCCGCCATGGTAAACGCCCCGTCTCCTACACACATGCACATACACACACGCACACACGCACACACACATAGACACAAACACCCCATCCGCGCGAACTAACATTGGCTCGTGCAGACGTCAATAGGCACAGGCTACGACCTGTCCAACTCGGTCTTCTCGCCCGATGGTCGCAACTTCCAGGTCGAATATGCAGTCAAGGCAGTGGAGAACGGCGGCACAGCACTGGGCATCAGGTGCAAGGACGGCGTGGTGCTTGCCCTCGAGAAGCTCGTCAGCAGCAAGCTGATCAAGCCCGGCGCCAACAAGCGGATAGCCACCGTAGACCGCAACATGGGCGTCGTGTCTTCGGGCCTGCTCCCCGATGGCCGCCACTTCGTCTCGCGCGCCCGTGACGAGGCAGCGCAATGGCGACAGCTCTACAAGGCCCCCATCCCCTCGTCCTCTCTCGCCGACCGCATGGGAAGCTACGTCCAGGCATACACTCTCTACTCGAGTGTGCGGCCTTTTGGCATAACCGCCATCATTGCAGGCTGGGACTCCGAGGCCGAATTGCCAGTAGACGGCCAGGTGGGCTCGGGTCCGGCGGTGGGCTCGGGAGGCAAGAAGCCGGGCGCAAAGCACGGCGGCCCGTCGCTGTACATGATTGAGCCGAGCGGCCTGTACTGGGTATGCGAGTCTGTACGTCACATTGTCGGCAATGACTGATCTCACCCGTCTAGGGCTACTACGGTGCCGCCACAGGCAAGGGCCGCCAGGTCGCCAAGTCGGAGCTCGAGAAGCTGAACCTGAACGAGGGCCAGCTGTCATTAGAGGAGGGCGTCAAGGAGGCTGCGCGCATCATCTACGTCGCACACGATGACAACAAGGACAAGGAATTCGAGCTCGAGATGACGTGGATCAGCAATCTCGACGGGCCGACCAAGGGCAGACACGAAGAGGTGCCCAAGGAGATCCGCGAGGAGGCCGAGAGGCTGGCAAAGAAGGCGCTCGAGGGCGACGATGACGACGACGACGAGGAGAAGATGGAGGAGTAACTGGCTGCACGCTGGCTGGGCGCACCAGACTGCAGACGCTGACGATGCATAACGAACGGCTTCGACGAGCCCTAACGAACAAATGAATAAGATGTGCAACCATGCTCTAGCTCGGCCCGCCTGTGTCCCCCTTGCTGGCACTGAGACTGACTTCACGTCTTTCCCTTTCCTGCCGCTTGCGCTTGTCGAGTGACCGTCACACCGCACCCGCACCCGCACCCGCGTCATGGCGATGCAGGTACGTCCGCCCCACTCGCGCGTCATTGCCAACCTGGCTCCAAAAGCATCCCGCTTCGAGCCTTGCACATGCCAATCTCTCCTTTCTTCACGCCTCCCTCGCTGCATTCTGCTCCGAGTCTGCCATTTTTTGCAAGCCACCCGAATCGCCCGCCATGGCACCAAAACTCGTCCTCATCCGCCATGCACAAGCGCAGCACAACGCCACCGGCGACTGGTCCATCCGCGACCCGCCACTGACGGAGCTGGGAGAGCAGCAATGCCGCGAGTTGCACGAGCACCTCAGACAGACCAAGATTGGCAACGAGATCGAGCTCATTGTCGTGAGCGCACAAAGAAGAACGCTGCAGACGGCCACAATTGGACTTGACTGGCTGATCAAGAAGGGCATCAAGGGTAATGGAGGCCTGGCAACGACAGAATACAAGCAAAAGAAAGGAGAAAGCTGACGACACAACCACAGTCCTCCCCGACGCGAATTGGCAAGAAAATGCAGACAAGCCCTGTGATACCGGTAGCCCTCTTGACGTCATTTCAAGCGAGTTTCCACAGTACGACTTTTCCGTAGTCGACCCGTCCTTCCCAGACAAGACGACGAATCTCGCCCAGAACCCCTATGCATTCACCGAAAAGGCCATTGTCGCGCGCGGCCAGACGTGTCTGCGGGACCTGTATGCGCGTCCGGAAAAGGTGATTGCTGTCGTTTCGCACTCTGGCTTCTTGCGCACGGCCGTGTGCAATCGCATGTTCTTCAACGCCGACTACCGTGTGTTTGAATTCGACCAAGAGGCCATGGCGGAGAAGCCGGGAAAGTTTGTTCTCAAGGAGACGGGCGAGACGGAGAAGAACGGTGGCGGCATGGGCAGAAGCGATATTGGTGTTTTTGGCATTGTGCCGGGCGACTTTCCGCCAGAGGTAGGCGAGGAAGAGACGGCCAAGAAAGCCGACGAGGTGAATGGCGAAGCTACCAAGCAAAAGCCCGTCATCTGAGCTGTTCGCCCAGCATGCCTGCCATGGTATGCGCTGGTACGGACGTTGACAAGCAATAGAGTTAGACATGTGTTCACTTTTCCAGGTGGATATGCAACAGAACAAAGACACTAGACATTTGCCTACATCATCTCTCTCGCTCTACACTTCACCATCCTGTCTGGGCAAACTGCAAATGATGTCTCCACTGCCTGTACTTTCCTCCCCATGCAGCATCAAAGGCAGCCATGGCTTCTTCTTCCTTTGCCCCCTTGATCGCCAGGCTAACAGCATGTCCATACAGCACATGCAGCTCCGTGCTTGCCTGTGCCAGTCGCTTGTTGTTCAAGAAAGCCGTTAGTGGGCTGTGAGACCAGCGAGTCCTGATATGAACCTGGACATTTTCAAGGTACGACGTGTGCGTGTCATTGGCTTTCGGCGAAGCAGTAGCAGCAGCAGCATCATCAACAGCCTTCATCCGTGACGTGCAACGTGTGTGTCTTTGAAATTGCAACAAGGGCGTTATCCATTTCTCACGCAAGCTGAACTTTGGAGCGCTGTCGTGGAGCTGGGCCCATACTTGGAGTTCTTGCAGGCCGGTAAGCTTCTTGGAAGCAGCTTTGCATGCGTTGAACCTAGATGGTCGCGGGTTTTTAGTATTCGTTTGTACCAACAAGTGCATACTGTCACGCAACCATCATTCGCCAACCATGTACCGTACTCACCAACTCTGACTATGCTTGGCCTGCCAGACTTGGTGGTCCGCTCGATGAGGTGGTCCATAGGTATCGTAATGGAAATGTAGCTTTGTGATTTTGTCCAAACTGGTGCTGGGAACAACGTTGAAGAAGTTGAGGATTCGCTTTGGCGCATCAAATATGAAGACTGTTTTGCTGTAGAGGAAAGCTGCCGTCTCCAAATGCACTTGCTTGCATGTAAGGCTCAGGGCGTACGGCGAGCCGAGCCAATTTGTCTGTAGTCCTTTGACAATACTGTACTTACCCAGTGGCCCGGAGAAGCGCACAATGTTTAGGGCGGGCATGCCAGGTTTGGTGTCAGGTCTTGAAGCATGGTCTTTGCGGGCAGCAAGTCCAGACCATAGCTTGATGGTGTGGGGTCTCCGCTGCTTGAATTGACTTCCTTGTGCGGTGATTTCGCAATGGTACTCCGAACCAAAGTAGTAGCTGTAGATTCCGTTTCTGATTTCCCCTGGCAGAGCCAAGAAGCCTCGCAACTTTTTCGGCGATGGCATCACGGCTGTATGAGCACGAGCGCGAGAGAAGAGGCTGGATGATGTCATGCTCGACGACATGTGCTTCGCTGCAAGCTGCCTGGCCCTTGGTTAGTCGCATGAGCTGTTAGCCACGATAAAAAAAAAGCACCCCCGCGATGCCGTAAAAGCAAGAGTGCAGGTGTGCAGCAGGCAGAGGGTGACGGTGAGGAAGTGGAGATAAGCGTTGCCAGCCTGGGCCCTGAAAGACATGGGAGGCGCGTTGGCACTAGCCCCGCTCGGGATTAAGCAAAAGAGCAGCTGCACAACAATCGCCATGGTACCATACCGCCTTGTCAAACACCATGTCATCGTCTTTCCTCCGTCCACGCCTCCTGTTCCGCCAGCCTCCAGTCCTTGCTACCCGTGCCTTTGGCGCCTCCCGACCGCACGCCTCCCGCCTCCGCCAGCCAGGTGAGCCTACGGGCCCCAACGAACCTCCATCTCACATCTCTGCCCCGCAGTCCAAGTCGCCGCTCAAGGTTTGGCCTATTATCGCCATATTCGCGACGGGCACGTTCCTGTTCAAGAAGATTGTAGATCAGCGCAAGGGCGAAGGTTACCAGCCTAAAGGACCAATCCAAGGCCATTCACCCAGCGGTAAGGGACAAGTGAGACCCTCACATCCTCACTAGCCAGCCTTGAAACAAGGAAAAAAAAGATCATGCCAGCCATTGAACAAGCTGCGCTCCCGGAGCGCTCCTCTCCTCTCTGGTCCAAGGACGATGTAACGGTTCTCTTTGTGCTCGGCGGCCCCGGCGCTGGAAAGGGTACACAATGCCAGAAGCTCGTCAGCGACTACGGCTTCAAGCACCTTTCTGCCGGCGACTTGCTGCGTGAGGAGCAGAACCGGGAGGGAAGCCAGTTCGGCGAGATGATCAAGACATACATCAAGGAAGGCACCATTGTGCCCATGGAGGTGACGATCAAGCTGCTTGAAAACGCCATGCGGAGTAGTATGGAGAGTGGCGAGAACGACAAGAAGCTGTTTTTGATTGATGGTATACTTGATGCCCCTTCTCTCGTGCGCCATTGCCTCCCGTACTTACGCTTGTAGGATTCCCGCGCAAGCTCGACCAGGCCCATGCGTTTGAGCGCTCAGTCTGTCCGTCCAAGTTTACTCTGTTCTTCGATTGCTCCGAAGGCGTCATGGAGAAGCGGCTCCTCCGCCGCGGGGAGACGTCAGGCCGCGCAGACGACAACCCGGAGAGCATCAGGAAGCGCTTTAGGACATTTGTCGAGACGAGCATGCCTGTAGTCAACGAGTTTGAATCCCAGGGCAGGGTCGTCAAGGTCAACGCCGAGCAGGAGCCTGATGAAGTCTACCGAGACGTGCAGGCGAAGCTCAAGGAGCGTGGCGTGGAGCTGATCAATCTCAAGTTTGTGCAGACACAGGCTTCGTAGACGGGCAAGACAGCAATAGAGAGTCAATATGTCTGAATTGCAATATCTATTGTGCAGCTCGAGGGCTGCGGCCCATAAAGCTGGAAAAGCCTTCGTAATGCATGCATCTATCTATGCCGTCCCTAGGCTTTTTGAAGAAACAAACGCTCACCAACACGACCTGTTTGCTTAATCCATATCCTCGTCAATAGCCCTCTGCTGCTTCCTCTGGCCGCCCCGGCCGCCAAACCGCGACGCCATGTCGGCCTTTTGGTCGGCCTTGTTTGCCTCGTCCTCCTTCTCCTGGAGGAACCTCTGCTTCTCCTGCTGGATGACGTGCAGCACGCCCTGCAGACTGTTGCGCCACAGGTCTAATCTTGACGCCACCTCTCTCCACTGGTTGTCGCCGAACACGCGGTATGTCGAGCGGTGGATGAGGAATGTCTGGTTGAGCTGGCTGAGCTTGCCCTCGACCAGACCCGCGCGGATCACGTCAATGACCCACATCTCGACGTCTTCCAGAGGCACCTGCAGCCCCTTTGCAATCTTCTCGTACGGGAGCGCCCGTGTCTGGCCGGCCGAGGCCGCCATCGAGGCAAGCGTCAGCAGGCGCATCTTGCGGTTCAGCGCAGTGCCATCGAGGCCAGACTCGTCGACCCAGCCGTCGTGCTCGTCCTTGAAGTCGTTGAAGTCGTCCAGCAGGTCCGAGTTGAAGATCTCGAGCAGCTGAAAGTAGACGGGGTCCGAGTTGCGCAGGGCCTGGATCGAGTCGAGGTCGGTGAGGTCTTGGAAGTCAAAGTGCGTGGGGTGGGTCAGGGCCGACTTGAGGGCGCGCAGCGACAGCTCGCGCGCTTCGGGCGAAGAGGCCTGCTCCGAGAGAAACGTCCGTAGTGCGCGCAGCAGATATGTGTACGCCTGCTCGCTCTCGCCGGCGTCGGCTGCGACGTCGCTCACGGCCAGGTACAGCTTGCGGGCGTCGTCGTCGGGCGTCTTCCACTCGGCTAACCAGGCGTCGAGCTGCTTGAGTTGTGGGCGCAGCGTCTCGAAGTTGGATGTGGCGCGGATGACGCGGAGAATGGCAAGGAGCACTTGGTAGCGGGCCTCGTTGGTGTGCTGCGTCGTGTTGAAGATGGTGCTGAGGATGGAGAGGGCCAGGCCGCCGCCGTTGAGGGGCGACGACGAAATGGGCGCGCTCAGGTTCTGGCACATCTTGGGCAGGAACATGGACGCGTTGGGCGACTGGTTGACGAGGTGGATGAGGAGGTTGTAGGCGGCAATGAACTCTGCGCACTCATGGTTAGACGTGCTCTCTGTGTCGCTCTCGCTCTCGCTGTGTGCGTGCGGACTGGGCCGTACCCTTCTCGGGCGCCTGGTTGAGCGCCTGGCTGCCGACAACCAGCTTCTTGAGGACCTCATCCTTCTTGTTCTCCTTGAGCAGCTCGGCGCTCTCGGCCTGCAGGCTGGCGCCCTCGTCGCCCTGGGATTTTTTGAGGCTGTCGATGTATTGTGCGAACTCGTCGGTAAGCTCCTCAAAGGTGCCCTCGATGAGCAGCGTCGTCTTGGCGCCCGGCATGGTGATTGTCGCTGAGAATTCGACGTGCGGAGAGTGTAGGCGGCGGGCGCTGTGGGCGGGGCTGGTGGATTGTCGACAGTGAGAGGCGCCTTGGTGGGATGCCAAGATTCGGGTTGGAATTTTGGAGTCGCTATCGATAGCCGCACACGCTCTTCCTTCACCTTCACCTTCACCTTCGCCTTCACCTTCGCCTTCACCTTCGACACCCCACTCGCCCCGGCTGCATCACTATCGCCCGACCGGGCGCATTGGACTCACCACACCCCCCCGTTAATCTATATTCAGCACTATCGCCCGACATCGCCTGTCTTGGAGCCATCGTCACGAGCACCGTCTGTGTCATGCATCCATGTGCCAGCATGCTCCTGGGCACCATTTACAAACAACATGTTCTTGCATAGAAATCAGAAAACACTCATTTCCTTGACTATGAAGCGCTCCGGTCACACCAATCTCATGACTACATAGCTCGTCGCTTACTGTTATCCCCACTCTTCACCTGCAGATAATTCCCTGCAAGCGGCGCCTTCAGTCCTGCATCTGCGATAAACCCCGACCAGTCAATACCGAACCGGCTGCTGACAGCCTGCCTATGCGCAGGAGGTACCGCAAAGTTGGCTGGCTGCTCGTGCAACAAGAAGACATAACGATGCGTAGGAGGGGCACCAGCTGGTGGCGCAGGACCGAAATACGACGAGGGCCCCGTGGCTGTCGTGGCTAAGACCGCTGTACCATTTTGCACAGCACCGGATGGCGTATAATCTTGCAGAAGCGCGTGTAGCACGGTTGTCGGACGACCGTTTTGCGTAACGTCAATATCTGCACCATGTTAGCACTGCCGTCTCTCGTGCAATCGATGGGATTCTGTACCAATCATCGCCAGGAGATACTTCCCAGGAAGCGTCGTGTTGGTGAGACCAATGACTGGCATCTTTTGTGTCACTACCTGTGTCAATATGGTTCCTGCCTCAACCCCTTTGCATTTGGCATACCTGATTTCTTGACAAGCGTTCCAGGACTTATATACTGACCTCCATAATAAACATCGAGTGTCTTGTTGGCGACAAGGAGAAAGCCATCAGGCGTTGTCTGGGTCAATATTGGCACAACAAACAGCAGAGATGCTACAATGGTCTTGGATCTCATCTTGATTGCATCTACCTTGCAAAGGAAGCGTTCAAGAATACCATCAAGATTCGCAGTTCTCCCTAACGGCCAACTTGCAAAGTTATAAGCACTACTCCTCCCCACCACGGCCCGTGTTTGGTGGATCCAATACTAACTGCTACTACCGACACTACGTAGCTTACAGGATACTGAGTACAAATGTTTTTATCAAGTCAAAGCCATAATAGATGAGCTTGCAGTATAACCAAATTTGGCAAAGCACAGGCTGAAGTGATGCTCCATTCAAGCCCCTGTTAGCCCCGCAAAACCAGTATGCAACCTTCGGCACTTGAGCAAAGAAACCCATCAAACTTTTTCCGTTTCTTTACATTCACTACAAAGACGCCTACGAAGGAGAGTCATCCATCTCAGTCACCATGCAGCCCAGGTTATCACGCAACGTAGCCCGAAACTTTCTTAGGAGGCAAAAGTGAGCTTTGTTGCCCTTGTAGCCAACCTTCTCGCTAGTATCCACCACATATGCCCCTCCCGGTAGGACCGTGGGATGGTAGTACACATCCATGTCTTTTGCCTCTGCCTTGCACTCTGTTACTAGGGTTAGCAGCCATGCATGACTTGATGCATCTCCTTGAAAGCGCATAATTCACGCTAGGAAATTGCAGAGAAAAAACAGGAGAAAAAAAACATACTAATCTTCTCGTCTGCCCAGGACCGCCCAAGCACCATCATGGCCTGATCGTAGCGCGTTATTATCCTTGAAGTTTCGTAAACGACCCTACGTCTCTGCATGCCATCTTTTTGCCACACTTCCTTCGTGCTCGCGTATGCAGTGCACCGGTGTCTTGTACTCAGTGGATCATAAGCGATGACGCTGCTGATAATGCTGTAGAGAATGGTCAAGAGGTAGGCGATACGCATTGTGAAGGAGTGCGATGGCGTTTTTTTTTGGTCGTAATGATAGGTGAGAGCGAGAGTAGAGATGAGAGAGTGCTTAAAAGTGAAAAGATCTAGGCATAAATTGCGTACTGATTGTAGTAATGTCTTCCTTTTGAAGTGACGAGGGAGTCATAAATACAACGGTATGCACGAAAACGGGACATCTAACGGGTCATCCTTACCGCTAAACCAAATGCTTCGATGTCTTTTTGGGGCAGATGCTGCTGTTCACGAGTGGAAAACGGTTGGAAATATATGTTTCAGGGCTGATTGGATCTATTATCGTCGTTGATACGTCACTTTACCCCAATTGTCTGTAATAATGCGCTTGAAATACATAATCATCCCCTAGGTCAAGGACTTGATTAGTGGGCCAATGGTAGACTTTCCGCCAATCCACGGACGGTATTTTCTAATCCTGCATCGTGTTTCGTGCAAAGTATCCATGTTAAGACTAGTAAAAGCCATTTGATAGAGGTATAAAAGCTCGGCATACTGAGCACTGTCATATGGTGGTGTATCACGGTACCCATCTTCTTAAGATGAAAGCACCACAGCACAATTGCTTCATCAATATTGCGATAGAGCTGGCGAATCCGAAGAGAGTTGCTAGCATGACAGCTTGTATTGTACGAAGTCATTGACGAGGATCAGAAACGAGGCATCGATGGATGAAATGAACTCTTGAAACTTGAACTCCTTATCTGATGCAGCACAGGACACGGAGCCGAGTGACAATCGATGGGTAAGAGTCACACATCAAAGAAGCATCTTATACAGCCTTGATGTGAGCTAGTACAAAATTATTCAATTCCTTCTATACATTAACGCCAAATGTCATCTATGGAAAACTGAACTCTCTTCAAGCCTTTTCTTACGGTGGTACTGTTCCTGCGAGTGTAGGAGGCACAGCAGCTTCTTGAATGGCGGAATACTTGAGTTTCAGCCCTTCAGTCGCCCGTTCTCCAAGTGCCAACATGTTCTCAGCTCCGAGCATTTGCAGAACACTAATCTCAAAGCCAAAGGTTGTCCTCCACCAGCTGCGCATCTCTATAGCGACCAAGCTGTCCAGTCCAGAATCTTGAAGTGAGCTTGATACATCAATCTCACTGTCGTCCTTGCCGTCCAGTGGGCGAAGAAGCATGATGGCCATTTTCTTCGCAATTTGTCGTGCTAGGAAATCAGCTGTGGCGGATTGTGTCAAGATAATTGGGTCTGCAAGAACTTGATTCATGAAATCCTTGATTGCATCCGTTGCACAATCTGCACCTGCGCCAGCGGAAGAGGATACATGGGTAACCGTATCGAGATTGCGATAGTATGTCATCCGTCGGTCGTCTTTCCACGCTACGCGGTTCGAAGGATCAGAAAGTGGTGTTTGGCTTCGAAGACCGAGAGTCCTTAAAGACCGGCAGGTTCTTGAAGTTCTGGCCGTCACCTTCGCTTCAACAGTACTCAGCGATAGTGTGATAGCGTCCAGTAGCTGCGGTGTGCTGATTCCGTATGTCCCTTGCAATCGCATACGTTCCAGCATCAGCGGGTTCTCTGCGACATATCCGTGGTCATGCATCAAACAGACGTTGATGGCAGAAGCATTCATGCCTAGCGAGTGCCGATATTGTACAAAAGCTTCAAGAAACGTGTTTGCTGCTCCGTAATTGGCTTGGCCTGGGCCACCGAAGACACCTACAATGGAGCTGAACAGGAGGAAGAAATCAAGGTCGATCTCTCTGGCCACGCATGCATTGTGCAGATTCCATGTTCCCTGGACTTTTGGATCATTCGCTGCACTCCATGATTCGTGGGTCATTTGATGAAAGCTCATGTCTTGCAACTCCATGCCGAGATTCATCACACCGCGTACAGGAGCGGTCGCAGCTGTGATAGCCTTCTCCACGTCTTTCGCAATGGCGACGTTCCCCTTTACAGCCGTGACAGTGCAGCCTTGGCTTTCGAGGTCCTTGAAGTAACCTTTGTCGGATTCTTTCTCGCCAGCAGATCGAGAAAGAAATATCAGGTGTCGCGCTCCATTCTCGACTAACCAGTTGGCCACGATTCGGCCTAACCCACCGAGGCCGCCAGCAAGCAGATAGCTGGCATGTGAGTTTATATGAGGCTTGCGCTTAGGATGAGTCGTGGTCAGGCCTAGGGAAGTGAGTGGTCGGCTGGCGGAACTCTCCATAGATAGGATGACTTTGCCAATATGCCAACCCTGTTGCATGTATCGGAAGCATTGCTCAGCTTCGGCCATCTGGAAGTTCTTTATTGGAAAGATGGGCTGGATGTGCCCTGCCTCATAGAGTTCCACCATCTTTACCAATAGCCTTCGACACTCATTCGGTCGATGGTTGAGAAGATGAGCTAGCTCGATGCCATGAAAACTCCGATTCTCTGCAAAAGGGTTTAGAGATATGCGGCCGTTGGCAATCAAATCCCGTTTTCCGATTTCGATCATTTTGCCAAATTGCGCTACACATTCCCAAGATGCATGGAGAAGGTCGCCCGAAAGTGAGTTGAGCACAAGGTCTACCCCAGCGCCATTGGTGACGCGCATGACATCAGTCAAGAATGACCGACTGCGCGAGTCGAAGATGTGGCGTCTTGGTATACCGATATCCTCCACCAAGAATTTGACCTTCTCTTCCGAACTGACTGTGCAGTATATCGTAGCCCCAAGCATGCGACAAACTTGAATAGCTGCAAGGCCAACTCCACCACATGCAGAGTGGATTAGGATCGTTTGCCCACTATGCATCTGACCAACTTCCAGCAGACCGTAAATAACTGTCATGAATACACAGGGCATTGTAGCAGCCTGTTGGAAGGAGAGGGAAGTCGGAAACTTCCAGCAATTGACACTGGGCACGAGGGCCTTGGTCGTAAACAGACTCGCGCCACCCATTACGATGACACGATCTCCAATTGCTAGGTCTTTAACTCCTGGGCCAATCTCGCGCACTACTCCTGCAGCTTCCAATCCTAGGACTTGGCGTGGTACTTCGAGAAGGTCCATAGCAGTCAACACGTCCTGTGATGGTCAGTAATTGCCATGCGTCTTCATATTACATGTGATGGTATTGAGATCTTACCCTGAAATTGAGTCCGGTTGCCATGATCTCAACAGCAATTTGACCCTCTTCTGGCTTTTGGTTGGAACGTGTAGTCCACTGGAGTGTGTCAAGCCTACCAACAGCTCCAATCGTTAGATCTAATTCAACATCGTCTTTGATCGACGAGGAAGTTTCCAGATTTTGTAGCTCTTGATTGATAGAGAATGGATACATGCGTGGCACATATACATCTCCATGTTCAATGGCGTACTCAAGCTCCAAATATCGCCTCGCGATGTGACCACGACCACAAAATTTCTGTGCTATTTGAGTTACGGCTTTCCAACTTGAACTGTTCAAGCGATCAATTTCGCACATTGCAATATCAAGTTCCATGTCTTTTCGAATGCCGCGAATAGCTCCGGGTGTTTGACCCCATTGAGGATGTTCACAACGAAGCTGAGAACTGCGAGTCAGCCAGAGAATTCCATCTCTTGACTCGGATATTTGAATCATCAACTGGCGAAACTTTTCGAAACGGGAGGCATCAATATTCATGAAGAATGGCTTGTTCACATCGAGTAAACAAATCGCGTCCATCTTCGGTGAAACTGTTCCTGTATCCCAGTGCTGGAGCAGAACTTCAAATTGACCATTTTGAGACAACTCAATTTCCAAATCTTTGGCAGTTTGTTGTGAGCCATCATCGAAAAGCAAAGTAATGGGCTTCGGTAGAGCTTCGTCAATCATAGGGCTCGTTATCATGTACGCACTGGACTGGTATGGTCGAGGTGCATCCAGCATGCAATCGACTAGGCCAGTGAAGCCCGCAGCCCGGAGCTCACTGTCCCATCTCTCAGGCTGTACATATGGCTCATCCGCACGTCCGTCTTGCTCACCTAACCACCAACCAGGAAGCAAACCCATAACGTAGTTCGTGGCTTTTATATCACAACAGAGCTCTTCGAGGTAGAATGTTCCGTTGGGTTGTAGTAGAGTATGAACATTGCGCAAAGTCTGCTGAAGATTGGGAACAGCGTGTATAACATTGGCGGCAATGACAAGGTCGTACGAATGGGGCTGGAATCCTTGAGTGATTGGGTCTTTCGTGATGTCGAGGACCTTGAAATCGAGAGCCGGGTGATCCTTGAAGGTTTCCTTTGCAGCATTGAAAAAACCTGCTGATATGTCTGTGTAGGTGTAAGAGGACCATAATCTGCCCTGGTCCGAAGGATTGATCAGACTCGATAGAAATTCGCGGGTCGTTCCTCCAGTCCCAGCACCAATTTCAAGAACGCGCATGTTCGGTTTCTGATGCCCAAGAAGTTTAAGGTAAGGAGTCAGATCAGCCAGTTTGTGTTGGTATATCCGAGCCAGGGAGTTATCTGCCATCAGAAGTTCTAGTGGCGACATCTGATCAGTCACAAGCTCCACAATGTTCTCTGTAATCTTCTCCATTGCGCTCACATATGCAGGAGCTACACAATTGTTTGCTTCAGCTGATATCATTTCCGTTGAACGTGCTGTGCTGACGATAGGCTGTCGCTTCATCCAAGCTACAAAAGATATTGCTGCTCCTGACGCTAGCTCCACGTTCTTGATCCTCTCCAATGCAGTTTGAATCTGGAGTGACGTGAATTGTTGCATGATCGTTCCGTATTTTTCCGGTGGAGTACTTTGTCGCACCAATGTCGACATTGATGTGAAACTAGGTTCTAGATCCCAGGTCATCACACCTGCGGCATGAGGATCTATCTCGACTTCTTTTTCCAATGGTGTCATTTTCGCGGTGTCCAGCTTCATAGCAAGTGATCCTTTTGCGTCGAATGCATAGCCGCACGCATGAATTCTACCATGAGCCATGATTTTCGCAGACGTATGGACCTGAAGATCGCCTGGACAGCTGTATACCTCCAGTTGCTTTAGGAATGTGGGCACATTCATTCGCTCCAGGGCATGTCCTTTTCCGTAGCAGGCAGCGATGCTGGTAGCCTGAAGGAATATGTCGATTGTTGTTGGGTGAACTAGATACTTCGATTCACAATCCTTTGGCGTGTTATCGCAAGCGACAACCTTGGCGATTTGCTCGTTTGGTGAGCATACAGGGTTTTTCATTCCTTGGAAGAAGGGCCCGTACCTTGCCCCAACATTCCACATGGCTTGGTACCATTTGGCTGCATCAGTGCTTCGTGTGAAGGCACTCTCGGGGCTTACAGGTGGATGCGAAAGCGGCGGAGACTGGATTGCTTCAACCGATCCCGAGCAGTGTTTAATCCAGCTGGTCCCTGCATACGTGGATATCGTAAATTCCCACCCGTTACTCTCCGAAGTGTCAGTAATTCGCCATCTTCTCAATGACGTGACCATCTCGATTGGTTTGTTTTCTTCCAAAACCATTGCAGTGCCGATGACCATGTTCTTGACACTGAAGCCAGCAAAAGCATTACTTCCAGCGGAAGAGTGAAGCCTCCGACTAGCCTCACCAACCATAGCCACATATGCCGCACACGGGAAAACCACGTCACCATGGATATTGTGGTCTCGCAGCCAAGGAATTTTCTCAAGCTGCAAAATGTTTCTGAATCCGGGGTGATCCTCGGTATTCTCCAAGATCAATGATCCAAGGAGCTCATGATGTGGGAATTTCGGATATCGCCAAGCCTGAGCGATTCGATTTTGGAACACATGAGCACCTTCATGATGCCAGGGATACAGTGGAATGTTTGTAAGTACTTTGGCAGTTTTGGAGGGGTTGGTGAGTCGATTCAAGTCGAAGTCGATACCGTACTGCCACAGTGTACCAAGAGCAGCGAGATATGTTCCATTTGCATCCGTTTTCCGATGGAGACACGACACATATGAAAGGTTTAGTGATTTTTGAGTCATTATCTGGCGGATGGGTCCTGAAAGGGCACTGTGAGGCCCTATCTCGAGAAAGCAGAGGTTACGTTGTGCAGAGTCCTTGTATCTTGCCAAAAGGCTATCAAAAGCTTGTAAGAAAAGGACCGGTGATTCGAGGTTGCGACGAAAGTAGTGGGCGTCGATGCGCTCGGACGCTGGCAAGAATTTTCCGGTGACACTCGAGAAGAAATCCGGGTGAGAAGATGCTTGCTCCTGAAGATGGTCATCTCCTTGAAAAGATGCCATCTTGCTTTGGTATTCGGCTCCTACAGTGAGCATATGATGTGAATGGTACGCAACATCCACTCTCAACATACGCACGAAGGTCTCAGGCTTGTATGATTGAACAGCTTCCACTACCTCTTGCACGGCTGCTGTATCACCAGAGATGGTGACGTTGGACGGCGAATTGTTGCACGCAATCACAGCGCCCTGCTTGAGATAGAGAGCAACCTCATCCCAACCCAAACCGATGACAGCCATCGAACCACCTCGCGGTGCCTGCTGTGAAACGACCCCACGGTAATACGCGATATGAATGGCTTCCCGACGGGATATTCTGCCCGCTGCGTAGGCTGCGGCAACCTCGCCAGATGAATGGCCAAGTACAGAATCAGGTGTGATAGCAAGATCAGCAAGAGCATCGACAAGAGCCACTTGGATAGCAGTACACAATGGCTGGGAAAGTGCAGCTTCATTCACATGACTGGAGTCAGTGTCCTTGGCTAACTCGCCCTCTATGCTCCAAGATGGTGGTGATGGCAGAGATTTCAGCTCACGATCCATAGCTCTGATTGAAGAAGCAAATGTAGGATTTGCTCGTAAAAGCTCAGTCCCCATTTGTGGCCACTGCGCACCTTGGCCAGTGAACACCATGGCCAATCGCGGAGGAAACGCTCCAGTGAAGGAGACACCGGCGCGGGAATCCACGGTTGCGCCCTTTACAACACTAAAGGCACGATGGGCTAGATGTTCGCGTCGGCAAGCCAATGTATAGGAAATGGCATCGATCTTCTCGTAATTCTTCAAGGCATAACTGCGCAGATCCTGCAAGCGGACCTGCAAAGACTCTGATGTATTTGCTGAGACAAGAAACAACTTTCCTGAGTCCTCAAGTTTTGTTGAGTCTTGTTCCATGGGCAGCTTGTCTCCCTGAACCGCCGGTTGGCCGATCTGAGATGAGTCGTATGAAGCTGCAGATTCGAGTATAACATGAGCATTGGCGCCACCAATCCCAAAGCTATTGACAGAAACTCGCTCGAGTTTATCTTTGGGCCATTTTATGCACTCGGTCGGGACCCTCAAATCCTTCTCTGCAAACGGAATGTTGGGATTTGGTGTTTCGAATTTGATATTCGGTGGAATCACGCGGTTCTCTAAAGCGAGGACAGCCTTGATTACGGAAGTTATTCCTGATGCTCCCTCGGAATGACCAACGTTTGGCTTAACGGACCCAATATAAACACCACTGTTACCAAAAACATTGCCCACCGCTGTAGTCTCGACAGGATCACCTGTTGGTGTTCCTGTACCGTGGCATTCGACAAAAGCAGTTTGTCGGATGTCGGTTTCTGCAATTCCTGCAGATTTGTACGCCTTGCGCATCATTTGCTCCTGACTGGTTGAGCTAGGCAAGCTCATACCCTGAGTCTTTCCGTCTGCGTTTGATGCTGTGCCGCGGATAATAGCACGGATTGGGTTTCCATCGCTGATAGCTGCGCTCAAAGGTTTGATGTAGATCATGTTTACAGCTTCTCCACGAGCATACCCGTCAGCACTTGCATCGAACGTTCGGCAAGAGGATTCTGATGAGAGAACACCTTGTTCTGACATATCAGACATAGCGTCGGGGCTCCAGAGAAGATTGCAGCCACCAACCAGAGCTGCGCTACAGTCTCCATTTCGAACTGCAACGCATGCTTCGTGCAAGCCTAACAAGGATGCAGAGCATGCTGTCCGTACGGTCATGCTTGGGCCTTTCAAGTCGTACTCGTAAGCCAGCCGGTTTGCATGCATGAAGTCACCATGACCAGTGATTTTGTACATGCTTTTTGAAAGGGGGTCTTTCAAGGACATCTCCATCCAGTCGTTTCCGAACGATCCAACATATGTTCCGATATCTTTTCCGCGCCATTCGGTCTCTCCAGCACTCTCGAAACACTCTCTTGTAAGCTCAAGGAGCATCTTCTGCTGTGGATCCATGCGGCAGGACTCTTGTTGCGACATGCGAAAGAAGGATGTGTCGACAGCACCCACGTCGGCACTTTCGTCCAAGAAGTAGCCATATTGTGAGTTGATGTATCCGGATTTCCCTGAAGCCGAATGAAATGCCTCGGCATCGAAGCGTTGTGATGGAATGCGGGCGCGAGCATCTCTCTTTTGAGTGAGAAGTGCCCAGAACTGCTCAGGTGTTTTTAGCGCGCCGGGTAGGCGAAGTGCCATGCCACATATGGCGATTGGTTCGGGTGCACGGTCCATAATATCGTTTGCAGTTCGTCGGGACTAAGAGTTGAACAGTATTACATGAAGAGGTCAATAAAGAAAATCGTTGAAGTAGAATGATTGCAGAATACAGTCACAGAGCCTTGACTAGACTTATACGTTTTTGGCGAAAGACACTCATCGGCCATGCAGCTCCAAGTTCACCCGCTTACCCTCGCAATGCAACATGAGGATACTTTTTCGTGTGCGTCATCTACAATAAAGCAAACGTGAGTTCGTTTCGTAGCCCGAGAAAAGGCAAAAAAGGAGAAGATAAATCCCGCACCTCCTATCCAATGATTTCACTCTTCTAGGAGATAAGATGATTGGTTTTCGAAGGACAATTATAAGCGTCAGAAAGACCGTTTTACAAAACGCACCGCACCATACATCCAGTGATGGCTGTATTTAGCCCCTAGCGATTTCATTACGCCTCGAGCCAGTTGTGAGGACTCATTGAGAAGCCGACTAAGCTTGAACCCAAATCTGAGCAGTCGCTGGTTTCAATGCACATGTTTAGCCACACAACATCAGGCTCTCATGTAACCGTATCCGCTTGAGCCTCATACTGTTGGCCGGTTCGGTGGTGGAACAACTAACAAGAAGACTTATGTTAAGATCTACCATCTGTATTCTATAAATATAACGGCTCTCTACACCGCCAATCACTATCATGCGTTCTGCGCAGTCGAACACTCGGTGACATGTTTGTTTTTTGGATTTGGCGCCCCCTGTATCATGATTCCGGTCATTTGGAATCTGTGACAGTTTTGTTTTTGAACTCTGCACCCTTTAGGTGGTGATTCCGGTCAGTGGCCAATGGTTCGATAGAAAGACAAAGGCTTAGCAGGGCCCTTGTGTCCGGCTTTTTTGTATCACAAACTTTAGGTTGTGCACTAAATAGAAAAAGCTAACGTAAACGTAGAACATCCTGGTGTAAAGCAAACATTCTGATCTTCCATATTGTCCACGGCTATTAAAATCTAAAGCTGGGCGCGTGTCATACTCCTCCGACCTCCCACTACATTGATAACCTCTTCGAGCAACCGTGACTGCGTGTTTCAATCAGAAACAGCGGAATTGTCGTGAGAACGGAAGGAGTGATTGTCGATTTGTAGCCCAATATGAGCTTTCCAAATGGTTGAACCAGCTCTTAAACCGTCACAAATGGTGGTATTGTATTGTCATTAACATAGCCATTGTGTCGGCGTCTAGTGAGATGAAAACCTTTGTCATTACCCAATATTCTATTTCATTTTCAAGATGACAGGGTTTTGGGATGGAGCAGCAGGATTGAAGAATATCAGGAGCAGTATGATTCCTATAAAACTGGCACAAAGGAATGCCCTGGATCCTATTCACGACCCACGAGCTCATTATTATGAGCTCTTAAAAATCACATTCATGGTTCTCTCCCTGCGATTCAATATTCTCCAAGACAACCTGAGTGTATACAGTACCAATCATGAGTTCGTAGGGATCAGCTTTTTCCAAGTCCATCCTCACGACCGCACTAACTTGACTGTTTCTCTTATAGAAGGCAATTCTCCATATATGGAAACATAGAAGGCGAGCGCCTGTAAATTATTTCAAATTGTGTGCATATTAATCACTTGCAATGATCGATAACTTGTTCCTTAGCTGCCTCTATAGATCCCTAGTCAGCTTCACTATTTTCTCGAAATGCTTTCTCCTTGACATGGGGAATTTGCCCAATGAGTGGGTTTTTTAAAAACTAATCTATAGCACCGAAACAAACCAACTGTGCTAATACGTCATGATCGGTATTGCTCATGAACTAGAAGTGAGATGCACTAGTCATTTGAACAATCAGGGCGAAGAGGTTACCGAAAAGGGGCTCAATCTTTGGGGTGTAGCATGTTTTAAATACGAGGTGAAAAGAAAGGCCTTACAATTGAATCAGGAACGTTAGAGTGCGTGAGTTGTTGGAACAACTAGGAACGTTTAGAATGTTCTTAACAAGAGGCTGTGACGCATCGTTGATGTGTTTGCTTTTTACCAGCCAGCCCGACACTTTATGTCTCGAGATCAAACATCATAAGAGTTGAATGAAACTTTCAACCACCACCTTTTGCAGTGTGCAAGAATGATGTTATAAGTTGGCTTTTTTTGTTTGGTTGGCTACTAGAAAAGTAAATCAACGCGTTCCGAGCTGAACGGAACGGAAGTATTTGTTGAGAAACGAAATACCGCTCAGACGCATGCATAAAGCCTTATTATGTGAGTGATGTGCAACGTGTCAACGCAAAAATCCTCAACAAATTCCATGTCTCATACTGTTACTACAGTTTCCTGAAGCATCAGCTTACTCTATTTAAGTACACAAACGCCGCCACAACCAAGCAGCCTTGTTTTGTTGGTAACCCAATTGCAGAAGCTGGAGGGTTACAGAAACCGACAAGCGCTTGCTGTGTCAATATGGAAGAGAAAAAGACGAACGTGGGCCACGATTCCTTCGAGGCCTGCTCATTAGAGGAAACGCTTGTGCCAGCAAAAGCCCAGCCTAGATGGCATCTACTAGCTACTTTTAGCAGTCTTTGTATCTTGGCGCTGATGGTTGCTCTCGACGCGACTTCGCTGCCTGTGGCACTGCCAGTAAGTTGCATTGCGCGGTTACCCTCGCTTCTTCTCTCACTCCCTAGTGAGCAACAGCTAAACAATGTACAGGTAATCTCGAAAGACTTGGGCGGCTCTGCCGTTGAAGCATTTTGGAGTGCCACATCGTTCTTGCTTGCCTCGACAGTATTCCAACCCATTATAGCAGCATTTTCGAATCTCTATGGGCGAAAAGCTTTGATGAACGTTAGCCTGGTTTTCTTCTTCGTCGGTTCTGTCGTCATTGCGGCTGGGAAAAACTTCACAACTGTTATTATAGGTCGGACCGTTCAAGGCTCCGGTGGAGGTGGGATCACGTGCCTGACAACTCTGATCATCGTCGACAAAATACCTTTAAGGGAACGTGGCAAATGGATTAGCTTAGTGGGCGCCATGTTCTCGATAGGTACCGTGACTGGCCCTTTACTCGGTAAGTGAAGCCACTCTGCTCTCAAAAGACTTGTTAACCATAATGACTTCAGGTGGTGGGTTGGCAAAACAGACTCTGTGGCGCTGGATCTTTTGGATCAATCTTCCCATCCTAGGCATTGCCACAGTCCTAATTGCCCTCTTTCTGGACACCGCGAAAGAACCAGGATCCTTTATCGGAAAACTAGGAGTGCTAGATTGGGTCGGGATGGCTTTATTCCTTCCTTCCGCAACCGGATTTATGATACCGATAACCCGCGGTGGTGTTGAATGCCCCTGGGATTCCTGGCGTACACTCGTACCCTTGTTTGTCTCTAGTGCTGGTCTTATAGCATTTGCTATGCATCAGGAGTATGTGGCGACGAACCCATTGATTCGCACCTCTGTCTTCAAGAATCTTTCCGCGTCCATCATCCTTTTTCAAACCATAATATACGGTATCATCCTGGGAGCGGTCTTCCTTTACTTGCCGCTTTATTTCGAGGCTGTCAAGGGCATGTCCCCTGTCATGGCTGGGGTTGCCATCTTCCCATGGACACTGACTGTTGCTCCATGCGCCATGGTGAGTTTCTACCTCAAGCCTCGAGGAAGACATGCGTAGGATACTGACAATAGGACAGATCACGGGAATCGCCATCTCAAAGACAGCACAATACCGATGGGCCAATTGGCTAGGGTGGTGCTTGACAGTCCTTGGTATGAGCTTTCTTGTGTGTCTCAAATCCGACACCTCAACTGGTGTTTGGATTGTGCTATGTCTGGTCGGCGGTGTCGGCCTGGGTATCCTCTATCCAGCGATGCTTATTGCCGTCCAAGCATCATCGTCCACAGAGAACCAGACTTATTCAACAAACTTATTCACTTTCTTCAGAGCCTTCGGTCAAGCTTTGGGAATAGCAGTCGGCGGTGTCGTTTTCCAGAACATGATGGAAAGGAGAATGTTATCAAAGCCACTCGTGTCCGATATGGCCAAGGAATACTCAAGGGATGCGGTAGGGTTGGTGCAGATCATCAAAGCCATGCCAGAGACCGAGATGAAGAAACAACTAACGGAGAGTTTTACGTACGCACTCATGTATACCTGGGTGTTTGTCGCAGTCCTCTCGGGGTTTGCGTTAGTTGCGAGCTTTTTTCTCAAAGGCTATGAGCTAAGCAGCCCAGAGGAGGTGGAGCAAAGAAACGCAGATGATAAAAAGTAGAAGAGTGCTGTCGGATTGATAATATTTCTGTACCAGAGGGGATTAGCGTGACCGGAGAAGGTGGTGACATATTGATCTGTCTTTTGGGAATTCGGTGACATATCGTTTTGAGCTTTACCGGAAGTGGCACTGGCCACCAAACCGTACAAATATAAATTTGTGATTTCCAGTTCGGCGAAGAGTATAAAAGAATAAAAGTAATTTCCTAGCCTCGACCTGACCATCTCATATCGTAATACTGTTTGTCACGACCTGACCATGGCTTGCCCAGAAAGCTGTTGTAGCCGCAAGGACACGGAACAAGCCAATACGGTGTCTAAAGATTCGCCATCAACTTTGGCAGAGCCGGCGACATGCGTTCCTGTTGTACTCCCCCATACCGATGTCGATAACTCTGTTACTGCTGAATTAAAACCCGAGGCAACAGTATCATCGGACTCCTGCTGCTCAACCTTTGAGACCACTGGTTCAACATTACCGGAAGCGCCTTGCCAGTCTCTAAATGCTGCAACGACTCATTTAGACAGCTCCTACGATTCCAAATCCATGACATCGAAGCAGGCTCCATCGAATAGTTGCTATTCGCCGCCAATACATACAACCACTGCTCTGCCCAAGGATACGAGCTCTTCCTCGACAAGCTGCACAAAGCCTGATTTATCAAGCTCATGCTGCTCGTCGACAAAGCCCAAGGAAACGAAAGAGACAAGCTCCTGTTGTTCGCCCGGGCCAGCGACAAAAGCGAAGAGCGAGCCAAAACCATCTTGCGGTGCGCCAAAGCAATCATCATGCTGCACACCAAAACCTACAAACTGCGCTCCACGCGAACAGAAGTCCACTTGCTGCGCCGCAGACAGCTCATTCGGCTGCTGTAGTGACAAAAAGGACGTTGTCATGTCCACCGACGAAATCACACGCCTCGATTCCTCCACCATGGACACGGAAAAGGGCGGTGGTATTGCCCGCCAACACATGGTAATCAGCATATCCGGCATGACCTGCACCGGTTGCGAGACAAAGTTGCAGCGCACGCTCAACAGCCTGCGATATTTGAGCAATGTGCAAACAAGTCTTGTTCTCGCGCGCGTGGAGCTCGACATGGATGCCAACGCCGCCACGGCCGACGACGTCCTCAAGCATCTGCATCGCACGACCGAGTTCAAGTGCGAAATCGTTTCCAGTCAGGGATGCAGTTTGGACTTTGTCTGTTCTGCTGGCGATCCGGTGGAATGGGTAAAAAGCCACGAGTGGCCAGACGGCGTACTAGATGTGCGGCGTCTGGGCAAGGACAAGATGATTCGCGTAGACTACGATGCAAAGGTTATCGGAGCGAGAGAACTGCTGGAGCATCCATGGAGTAACGCATTACATCTTGCGCCTCCGTGTCCTGACGCGTCTCTGGATGCGGGTAGCAAGCATGTGCGCAACATGGGACTCATGACGCTACTCTCCGCCATTCTGACCATCCCCGTCCTCGTAATGGCATGGGCGCCTCTGCCCAACCGCGAAATCGCATATGGCTCTGCGTCGCTGGCGCTGGCAACAATCGTGCAAGTTGTTGTTGCCGGTCCCTTTTACCCTAAAGCGCTTAAAGCGCTCGTCTTTTCCAGAGTCATTGAGATGGACTTGCTCATAGTACTCAGCACCAGTACTGCGTACATCTTCTCCATCGTCTCATTCGCATTCCAAGTCACGGGCAACCCTCTGTCTACGGGCGAGTTTTTCGAGACTAGCACGTTGCTTGTGACGTTGATCATGGTTGGGCGCTGGGTAGCGTCACTCGCGCGACAAAAGGCCGCAGAGTCAATTAGTATCCGGTCACTTCAGACTGCGACTGCGTTGCTAGTTGACGAACAGCAGGGGCCAGACCGGGAGATTGACGCACGACTACTGCAATTCGGAGACGTTTTTCGAGTGGCACCCGATACGAGAATCCCGACTGACGGAACGGTCATCTCTGGTTCTTCCGAGATGGACGAGTCGATGCTAACTGGGGAGTCGAGGCCTGTAGAAAAACACGCCGGATCGACAGTGACTGCTGGTTCCATCAACCGAAGTGGAACGCTTACTGTTCGTTTGAGCCGTTTGCCGGGAGATAATACCATCACAACGATTGCTACTATGGTCGACGCAGCAAAGCTTTCAAAGCCAAAGATTCAGGATATCGCGGATAGAGTGGCGAGTTACTTTGTCCCTGTTGTCGTCACGCTTACTATAATTACCTTTGTCATCTGGATCGCGATTGGTGTCACGGTACGCAACCAGTCGGGATCGCGCGCAACTATTGAAGCAATCACGTACGCCATCACCGTCTTGATTGTATCGTGTCCTTGCGCCATTGGTCTCGCAGTCCCCATGGTCATTGTCATTGCCTCGGGCGTCGCTGCAAAGCGTGGTGTGGTATTCAAGTCAGCTAGTAGCATTGAGACGGCATACAAGACAACAGACGTGGTGTTTGACAAGACGGGCACTCTGACAGCTGGACGACTGGCGGTCGTACATGAGGAGTTTCTTGGAGACGACGCGGCGACCACGAGATCATTGTTGCTCGGCTTGCTGGGCAATATCAAACATCCAGTGTCAGCGGCTGTTGCAGGGCACTTGATGTCCCAGAGAGTTTCAACTTTGTCCGTGACGGATGCCAAAGTGGTAACGGGTAGAGGCGTAGAGGGAACGTATAACGAACAGGTGTTGCGTGCTGGCAATTCCAGATGGTTGGAGCTATCAGAACACCCCTCTGTCCGCACACTACTATCCGAGGGGTTCAGCACATTTTGTTTCGTCATTGATGACGCCCCAGCAGCCATCTTCGGACTGCGAGACACCTTGCGCCCCGATGCCGCCGCCACTATTGGACGCTTACGTGGTGCAGGCATCCGGGTGCACATACTTTCTGGTGATGATGAAGGCGCCGTCAGAGATATTGCAGCCCAGCTTGACGTTAAAAGGGAAGCTGTTCGCTCGCGCTGCTCGCCAGCCGACAAGCAAGCTTACCTCAAAGCACTGCTCGCAGCGTCGTCAGCAATACCATCTTCCAGCAAGTCGCGCAAGCCGGTAGTCATGTTTGTAGGAGACGGAACCAATGATGCCGTTGCACTGGCTCAAGCCACGATTGGTGTTCACATGTCCAGCGGCACCGATATTGCGCAATCGGCTGCAGATGTGGTACTTGTTCGTCCGAACCTCTCAGGCGTACTGACTATCATCCAAGTAAGCAGGAAAGCAATTCACCGAGTCACCTTCAACTTTGGCTGGAGTTTTGTGTACAACCTCTTTGCCGTGCTGTTGGGAGCAGGTGCTTTTGTGCATGCGAGAATACCGCCCGAATTCGCGGGACTCGGAGAGCTGGTCAGTGTTTTACCAGTAGTATTGGCTGCGGTATTGCTGAAGTGGTCGCGTCTTTGAACGGAACATGTGGGCGCAGTCATTTTGCAATAGTCTTTCTTGGCCGAGTAGGACAAGTCTGCTTAATCCTACACCAACATAGCTCATGCTAGGTCCAGGACCTAACGGGGGTATCATACAATCTCCAGTGATGCTCATAATGCGAGCCAAAAAGAAATTATCACGGCAAAAGCTTTTCCTCAAACTCATGGCGCACGCGGTACTTGTCCAGTGGTATGGGAACATCGCCGCTGTACCCGAATTCGCCTTGCACTTTTTCCAGCTTTCTAGTCACCTTGCCAACCAGCCGTGCGATCCAGCGATCATTAGCCATTGCATGCACTGTGTTCTGGCCAGCTTTTCGCATCCCTACCATGGTCTTGTTCGACGCTTCCTTAAATCCGCTATCCACCTTCTTCAGAAAAGCCTTGAAGCTTTTGTCTTCGTTGCCACTAATCGTGGTTTGTGTACTTTCCGTCGTTTGGCTGCTGACTGATGCTAGACTGCTGGCCTCGCTGTCGGAAAGGTTCGTGCTGACACGCTTCAACTCGCGTAGAACTTTGGCTTCCTCAAAGTCCTTGTCTGATTCGATGACCTTTGTGGCTTTGACGATTGCGGCGACAAAATTGAGCAAGTCTTGATGGAACTGTGCTGGCAAATGTGCATGCGCACTGATGTGCATAGCTGCTTCATCCCTCTTTAGCCGCTGCAGTTCCTTTCGGGCCTGTGCTTGCTTGGGCGTAGGCTCGGCTTCATTGATTTCCGACTCAATCTCAAGTATCTCAAAGTCGCTTGCTTTCTGGGGGAAGATGTGCTCGTGGTGTGGAAAGAGAAACGTGGGTATGGTGAGAACGGCATTTGCGCCTCCCAGCCGGACAACCTGTTTCAGTTCGACAGCATCTGGTAGGACCCTATACGCCATGACGTCGGATATTTTGAATTTTGTTTGGATGTTGTAGTTCGTATTAATGGGGAACTGTGCCTCGCTTTGAATTTGGCCGAATTCAACCGCGAAGTTGGCGTCGGCGCACCAGGCAGATATGCGGGCCTCAAGTCTGCGAATTTCGCCGTCCTGGGATGAGTAGTGCTTGAAAAAATATTTCTTCATCAGCGCTGTAAACCATTTGCCTGACCCGGCGGCGGTCACAGACTTGAACTTGACAGGATGGAAATAGCAGATGGGGCTGAGCAATAGTCGGTAGAGGAATGGTAGCCGGTGCAGAAACTTCTTGACGTTCGGGTACGACGTCTTGCGCAACGTGGAAAGCCTGATCGACTTGGACGGTGGGTGGGGTATGGACGGCTGCTCATGAATATGGGTGCAGATGGCGGCACGGAAGTCGTTCATGTTGTCAATGTCGAGACGAACTCCTGGCTCTTCTCTTCTTTTCCGTTTCTGCTTGCCCTGTTTTTCTTCGTTTTGTTGGGCATTGGCGGCGGCAGCGGCAGCGGCGTCTTTGCGCGCCTTTGAGGCCTCGGCGAGCTGTTTCTTTGCAATGGTAATGGCGCTGGTTTCGTCAATGTAGCGTACCAGCTCCTTGTACTTTGTGTGTGCCTGCTCTTCGTTGGGCGCTACTTTCTTGACCGATGAAAATGCGGATGCAGCGTCTTGAGCCTCTGTTGGGACATTTCCGGCCGTAAATTCTCTGACCATGTCATGTGGACGACCAGTTATACCGCCCTTTTCTGTTGCTGCGCGGAGGATAGCTGTATTGGTTACGACGACCGAGTCGTCGTCATCTGGCTCTGGAACTCCGTATGCGACGTCGCCAAAGGTAACTTCCCAGTCGCCGCCTTTGACATTTGCATAGACGTCATCGACGATGATTTCCCGAAGCAGGGGTACGACGACCTTGTCGACCTGTATGCCCAACTCGATGTCGTCTGAGAGTTTGATTCCCGCTTCAACACCATGGGCCACGAGTGTCATTGTGGAGAGCGATAGCGTGACTCCGCGAATGACAAAAAGGCCTTTGACTTCAGTGTCGATTTCCAGGGCTGGCAAGTCGAAGAGGGCTATCTGGTCGTTGATGAAGTGCAGGTCGCGCAAAAAGGTCTTTCGTAGACTGCGCCGGGCGAGGGCAGCAGCAGCTTCGAACTGGTAAAGGCACGTGACGAGAAGTGCAGGCCAGCAACATGCGAAGAAGGCCCAGTAGAGGAGCCATGATGTGGCGCACACGGCATAGGCCAGGTTGACGGTAGCGAAGATGGTCCATATGGGAGCAAATGGGAGAATGCGGTGTCCATTGGCCTCGCCAAGCAGGATGACATATACTAATGAGGGTGCTCCGGACACGATCCACCGCAGCGGCCAGGAGAGAGAGAGGGCGAGCAGGAGAGTGGTGAGGGCGAGAAAGGCATTGGGGACGAGCGTGCTGGTGAGCTCGCGCTCTGGTGTCGAGGTGGGTGTGGGGTGTGCGAGCGGGGCGACTGGTTTGCGCTTTGGCATAGCCGGTAGCGGGCTATTTGCGCGTGAATCCATGCGAGTGAGACGGTGGAAGGGGAAGCTAGGAAGCCATGTCGGTGGTGGTAGGGATACTGGTGGTAGTAGTAGGAGGGAGTCGGTAGGGACCTGCAGGTGCCGTCATTCACCCGGCGGCAGGGCAATGCAGGCACGGGGTGTCGTTGGGCTGACGTCATTAGGCGTTCACTGGCACTGGGCCAAACGAGAGGTGGAAGTGGATGTGGATGTGGATGCATAACGGCGGGTGTGCTAAGCGAAGCCTGGCACGCGCTACCCTTGATAAGAGGAGATGAGATGAGGTAAACTTGGGGTGCTCTACGTATACTTTTTACCCGCACTTATATTGCTCGTGTAGAAATTATATCTCTCTATCTTCTTTACACTATTACTCTGAAAAGACCCCGTAGTTGCTGTGTTAGAGCCTGTAGCAAGTTTACACTTTATACAGTAGAGCAGGGGTAAGTTTTGTAAAACTTTGGGCCTGCGTCGGTGAAGATCAAAGTTACGTTAGCTATTTTAGTCATCTCTTCTACTCTTGTGATTGGTGGAATAGAAAACCAATAATCTCTGATTGGCTGTATAGCAGCGCTGAGCACAGAATCGAGTGGCAAAAATACCCCCTTGCTAGTCTCGGTGTTACAAAACTTACCCCTGTTCTATTGTATATTCCCTATATACAAATTAGATAAATCAAGTAAGAGGAAACTAGGTAGATAATACCTACAAATATATAGAGGAAACAGGACAAAAACATGCACTAAAAAGAGGCGTACTTGAGGCAAATCAAACGGCGGCCTGCGCCAACGCCCACTCTTGGCACACTCTGGTCAGTGACTGCGTTTTGGCGCTGCACATGGCGCTCAACCACACGCCGGGCATCATATTACTTATTCCCGTACGTCCGCCTCCAGCCATTGCCAGTGTTGCACGCGACGAATGGCAGTAGGCGACACACAGCGGCAGAGCGCGTCGATAGCGCCCGAGGCGATCAACCACACCCTGGGAGTCAGCAACGGCGAAACCTTATTACACAACAGCCGCCATGGCCATTGGTCTGGCTCGACATGGACGAAGCAGCTGAGGGCGCATACGCCGGCACCAATTGCTCGCTCGTCTCGCAGGGCAGCGCAGTGGCTCAAGGGACCCAAGCCGCGCACAAGATACATCATCGCCCCCTGGTTGGAGCGCTGGCAGACGCTGCCGGCACGTCTGCTGGCCCGGCTTCCGCCCTGGATGCGCATCGCCATCTATAGCACCGCATGCATAACATACATCGCCATCTTCGCCACCATCATCACGCACGCCCAGGGCCGCTCCGACATTGGTGGGCTGGGGCCGCCCGTCAGGCTGTCGTGCGTCAACACATTGTGGTACGTATGTAGTAGTACATGCAACACCATCATGTACCTGCATATCCACTTATCCATCTATCCATCCACACTAACAGCGTATAGGCCCTCGCCCCAGGCCTGCCGGCTTGATGGCCGCGACTGCTTCCCCTTCTCCAATGCGTCCTTTGCCTTCGACTGCCCCGCCGGCTGCGCCAGTGCCCAGGTCCTGAACCCTCATGCCATCGGTCCGCACAGTGTAAACTACCGCAGTCTGGTCGTTGGAGGCTCTCCTGCCTCCGCCCACGCCGACGCATTCGTCTATCGTGGCGACTCGTTCATATGCTCTGCAGCCATCCATGCCGGCGTCATCAGCAGCACCAATGGTGGTTGCGGCCTTGTCTCCCTGATCGGACAGCACAACCACTTTGGCGCCGTCCGTCGCAACGGCATTGACAGCATTGCCTTCGACTCGCATTTTCCCATGTCCCTCGCCTTTGACCGAACCCCGGCCCAATGTCAAGACCCGCGCTGGACCTTGCTTGTCCTCTCCACCGTCTTCTCGGCCCTCTTTGGACTATTCACCACGAGCCCTGCCACCTTCTTTGCCCCTGTCTTTGCCATATTGTTCTTCCAGACCGCAATGGCCTCGGATCCGCCCCCATACTCTGACTACGCGTCCTTGGCCTCGACGACACTTGGCCGCTTCTTGCCTGCCGCGTTGGCTGCTGCCCTCCTGTATCGCTTTAGCGTCGGCATATCCCTGCGCAACTGCAAGGCTCAGGTCGAAAAGACCATCTTGTGGGTCGGCGGCGCATGGGTCGGCGCGCTGGGAAACTACACGTTTGAACGCATACCCATCCAGCGGCTGACTGCGCACGATATACGCCAGCAGCCTGGTGCTGTTACAGCCCTGGTCCTCATCATTATTGTCTTGTTTGTACTTGTTCTCTATCAAGCATGGTGCTTCCGCAATGAGGGCCGACTGCCGCGCTTCCTCGCACTGTACCTTGTACTGGGTATTGGTCTTGGCATCCTTGCTGCCATACCACATCTTACTCTGCGAATGCATCACTACATCATTGCACTCCTGCTTCTTCCCGGCACAGCACTGCAGACACGCGTCAGCTTGCTATGTCAGGGCCTGCTGGTAGGCTTATTCGTCAATGGCATCGCGCGATGGGGCTTTGATGCCATTCTGCAAACTGCTGCTGCGCTCAGGGGAGATGCACAGCTGGGCACTGCCATCCCAGCCATTGCCGAACCCGTCATCAACGGCTCGACAATCACCTTTGCATGGAATAGTTTGCTTGATGGCTATCAAGGTGTCAGTGTACTCGTCAATGATGTCGAGAGATACAGAGGGTCTAGTGGCACAACCCAAGGCACCTACACTTGGCAGAGGACACAACAAGGTGTGAACGAATACTTTAGATTCGGCTTCGTACGATACAAGCTCTTTGGAGCCATCTCGTACAGCGATTTCACCAGGGCGGGAACGTGGTTTGCCAATGGAACGTGGTCTGGCATACCCTTTGGTCGTACATAGACGCCATGTCTACAAACAAGACTCTTCAACCCGTCTTGTATCCCTGTGTACATATAGGAATTGTTGGTATCAGCAGCAACCGTGAACAAGAGAGTAGCCTGAAAGTATCGAGACACCTAAAAGTGCAGGCATAATCGGGCCGTTATCTTCAACCTTCACCAAGTTGGTTGGTGACATGGGAGGGTGCATTTCCCGTAACATTGTACTGTAAACTCGATGGCCGAACAATTCAGGGTCATGCAGCTAGCCGTATTACGTGCAGTATCAATATGATGTACTGACCTCGAAGTGATTGGTGGCATTGGCAAGCGTTGCATCGTGATTACATACATCGCACGGCTCTCTTACCCAGTTTCTCCACTTCCCACCCTATGCTCACAGCAAATGTTAAACGTGGGCCACTGAGCAGCGGGTGGCCCAGATCGCGCGCTTAGCAACAGTACATCTTACATGGTACGCTAGCAAGGCTGTAGAATAGAAATTGTAGGATACCGGACATGGCTAGTATACAAGCCTCTACATGAACAGAAATGTGAGGCTCTAGAAGTAGCCATTACTGGCTATCTCTTGGTGTACTATCTAGCCTCACACACTATCATTACGCACAAATTTCAAAGTTAAAAACGGACGTTCTCTCAACACTCTCGAGGCAGGACGATAAGCGCCAAAATATTGAGTTATTTTGCTAACTCTAAACAACTTGGCTGCTACGCTACTAATGCAGACCCCTGCTAGGTAGCGGGTGAAATACTCGTTAGTGGTGGGAAGTTTAACTTTTGCCCATGCTTACGAGAAATGCCCCGATCGGAGACAGATCCAAGCCTGGCCACCAAGGAATTTGACGGTTTCCAAAGCGAGCCCAAAAACAGATTTCACATTACCAAGTCATAAGCAGTCAGTGCAAACGCCTATCAACTCACGGGTGCAGCGACGCATATCAACATGTGGGACCATGTTTAATTTCAACTGCTGCCGCTTCCCGCACATGCTAGCGAAAAGCCACCCAAAAATAACCCGGCCAACGCATGAAAAAGGGGAAACGGGACGAGCGTTGGCTCATTCCAAGTCCCGGTCCCTCGGCTAAAACGAATGCTTGGCATGGAACAATCTTTGGTGTGTATGTCCGGTTCTGCCGGGAACCCTCCTTGCAGCCTTTTGGCTTTGCTGACAGCAATCTCTCCATGGTTTTCTAATAGGCTGCCGCATCAGCACACACCCAGTTGCTCCATATACAAAGCGCCGGCTTCATGGCCCACTGCCTGTGCCTTTGAGCAATGTCCAGATTTTCCCAGCAACGTAGTTCGGGTGCCGGTGTATGTACCTCCTCACACACCGGAAACCCAGCGCTACCTGACTCTCGGCCACACATATCATGGCTGCAATACGACCCGGGTCCACCTCCTGGCCTCGTATTTTGCCATCAAAGCCTTATGCGCATGACAAAAGTAAATCCACTGCAGCTACGATGGCAGGTTTTCCTTGCTCGTCGACGCCGGCATGCCGTCACCATGTCGTAGTGCTAATGACCAATGTTGGTAGGCAAAGGCCCGATCATGTCCTGCATGGGAACGGCGCTTGGTCAATGGGAACCTCCTCCGGCCGTACAGGGATGATCCACCCCGCCTTAAAGTACGAGGTCAGACTTGAGGTTTTTTTATAGTATCTGTGTCCTAGCAGACTCCACTTTGACCAGCCAACGTGCGTTGAGGTGGTTTTCGGAAGCTCATCTCTTGGATATATAACACAACTGCCTCCGCCATCGGACCAACATCACCATCAACCGCCACTATCCACCCTCCATACATCAAACACCCAAACACCATCATCACTATCAAGATGCAATTCCCCGCCGCTCTCCTCGCCCTTGCTGCCAGCGCTTCTGCTGCTGCTGTCGCACCCCGCACTGAACTCGGTTCGTAGTTTGTCCGCATGCAGTTTGGACTTGGCCCAGCCGGACTCGGCATGAACTCCTGGTACACAGACTCTCAGTACACCGAATTGGCAAGTCACTGCGTCGAGGCTCCTTTCGACGAGCTCCCTGTCATTCACGATTGCGACACCATCAAACTTCAGTGGACCTACAACAACCATTGTACGTTCTACTTCCCCCAATAACCCAATTTCATCGTTCAGAGCTGATCTTGTTTTCTCTAGCTCTTTACCTCGGGCAAGATCTTCCCAACGGAAAGACTGTCTTTGGATACGCCGAGTGGCCCCGCGGTCAATTGGAGGGTACCATCAATGCCACTAAGATTGTTGACACAAATTAAGCAAACAAAGGCCGCGGCGTGCCTACATCTTTCTCCAACGACTATCGTCTTTACGAATCGCAATGCGGTACAATCTGTACATATATATGCTAGAACCCTATCATAGACCTAAGCCAGCCTAATGTATGATTGAATAAGCCTACTTCTGACCATCTCTTCCACGTGTCCTGCCATACTTCCACTTGCTGAAGCGCATTGGTGCCTTATGATCCATTGCACAAAGTGCCATATTGGCCGTGCTCTACGTCTGTTTGTAAGCTATTGTTAAATAGTGCTACTGCGCCGGCAGTGATGTCGAGGGAACTCTGTCAGTGATGCTCACCGCCTCTTGTATCAACCGTCTGCACTCTATCTGGTATGATGGCCAAACAAGTACATATAAGATGGCAACATCTACTTCGGTGCTATAGCTGAGATGACACTGTATTATCTTGAACCAAACTAAGTTTATTGCAGTATACTCAATCACTATGCCTGCTCCCAGGCTCCAAAAACGCCAAGATCATGGTCATTGAATAGATTTTGCCTTACTGACAGACCGGGCTTGTGTTTTTCTCAGCAAATTCTCCCGGTTCATCGAGCAGCTGAGCGCCTTACTCTCGTCTATTCATCGGTAGTGATGCTGAGGTCACAGGCAGGGAAGACAAGCACGCACCGCAGGGGTTCTTAGCTGCAGTAGCCGTTAACACCGAGAGTCTGGATCTTACTTAAGGATGTGAGTCAAGTAGCTCGTAGCGGAGACGGGCAGGGCCGCAGTTGTGCAGATTGCGGGTGGGCTGGTACGCACGTGGAGTCTGTTTAATTGCCATTCGACGCTACATGGCTATCTGCATACATACCTACACCTACAGCTGGCTGTGAAGATCTACAAAAACTGCATCCAAACTCTTGGGTTGGGCATGTACAGCGCTCCAATGGATCCAGCTCGCGTAGACGTCGAAACGCTCGACATCCGACTACTTCTCGCTTGTGGAGTTATGGCATATACTAGCCAAGCATCAAGCGCCGAAGGTTTCGCTGGGTGTTATAAAGTTAAGGCGATAAATATCCCAGGCGCATCCATGCGGCAGACCAAAGCGAAGGCCCTTTTGAGCCAGAACAAGGCGGCATCGGAATCATGCTCGGGCGCGCGCTATCAAGAACTAGGTGATTCTGAGTTGCCTGCCTAGGAATTATTGTGGACATTACAGACGCCTTCAGCAGCCCCGGTATCACTGGTGTTTGCAGGCGTGAATTCGTACATGTACAGCCCCAGATCTAGGCCTTCTGCAAGGCTGTACATGGAGGCGGGCCCGCCACGTGCTTCGGACATGGCGCATTTTTGAACATGGATGATAGCGGTCTATCTTGTCTCAAAAAGCGCATCTCAAGAACAGGCCGGACGCCACAAGGACGTTTACGCAGCGACTGTGTACGCCTCTTTGCGCATTAGGGAACACGTCGAGCCACCAGCACAAGGCATTTCCCAATTCGACTAGGTCAACCAGATGCCAAGCCGCCTCACTGACTCGGTCGGCTTGGCACGTGTGAGCTTGGCTAGATTGCCAAGCGAATCCAATATCACAACAACCCTCTCCTCTCCACAACGACCTCCTCCTGCATGCTCCCGTCAAGTCATCCGCCTTGCCCCATGCGTAAAACTGCCTACACAATCGGCTCGACTGACTCTGCCAAGAGGGCGCCTCACCCTAACATGCTTGCCGAACTTCAAGGGCTTGCGAGGCGGCACAAAGGACAGCTGAGCGGGCCTGGGAGCTGAGCGAAATGTCATGTCTACTACTTCGGCACTGCCGTTGCAAGGTGGTGATAGTACACCATGGCTCCACAGAGGCTTTCAGATGAGCATCTGGCCAGACATGGCGTTCAGCTGAACTCGACTTCCATGGCCTTTAGCTCGCTCTAAGCGACACAGCAAGAGGTTATAAGAAGAGGCTCAACTACCACCTAGCAAAGCACCACAACAACAGCTTGTCTCTTCTTTCCAGTCGCATCCAACCGAATCAACCAAACATGCGCGGTCTTACCACGGCTACCCTTGGTGGGCTGATTGGCCTTGCCTCATCACAGCTGATCGATCTTGGTTACGTTGATTCTGTTCCGGACCCAACATACACCATCCTTCATTATGAGCGGAAACAGACTGTTCCGTACAATCCAGATCAAGCCATTGCTTCCGTTGTTGCTGTAGCATTGCAGTCTCCCGTTCCGGACCCAGGCAAAAATGCTGTCCACGCGCGCCACCTCGAGATCCAGAAGCGCTTTGAGCCTTGCGAGAACTTGAACAACAACGCCAATAGTTACAATGCCGTGCTCGATCCAGCAGAGAGCTTTGTCAGCGATGACAACCTCGCCCAACAGGCCTTGAATGCTCCCACGCCAGATGGATACACTCAGACATACAAGAATCTGAAGGCATGTGCTCAAGCCAACGGATACATGGGGTGAGTTTTTTCCGATCCACTCATGTTCCCACTGACTGACTGACCGTCAACAGATATACCATCATGTCCAGCTACAATGTTCAGGAATGTGCTGACAAGTGTACGCGCACTATCGGCTGTCAAGGCTTCAACACCTACTTTGAGCGTAGTCCAAGCAAGGTTCCAGGCCCTGACTGCCCCAACCCGGGTGGTGCGGCCAACCCCTTCTGTGTCCTCTGGGGAGGTCCTGTGACTCCTGAGAATGCTCGCAACGAAGGCCAATGGCGCGAGCAGTATCACGTTGTTATTGCGTAAGTTCCACCGCTCAATGTAATTAGACTGCTCTCTGACAACGAACAAGCGCATCTAACGGATACGTCTTGACTTCTTCCCTGAATCCCCTCTCAGGCAAGGCCATCAACGCTCCTCTCGATTGCAATAATGACGACGCGTACATGGGAATGAGATTGTTGAATGACAACGCCCCCTTCGACCCCCAGCGTTGTGCTGCCATTTGCGAGGCTACCTCCCAGTACAACATCGAACACCCCAGTGATCCCTCGCGACCCCCTAGGCTTTGCAAGTTCTACAACACTTACATTCTCAACAAAAACTTCTATTCACAGGGCCAGATCTGTGCCATGTACACGCAGTCCTGGGATCCCTCTGTGTACGCCACCAATGACGGTCAATGGCGTGGTGACGACCACTACACAATCTCTTCTAGCGTGTTCTTCCACAACGCGACGGATGTTACCACCCCTGTTTGCCCAGCGGATATCAACAGGCTTCAGACTGATAGCGATGCGGGCGCTTTCTGCACATCGTTCAACTCGTACGTTGCACCCTCGACAAGCACCGTTACGTCCTATACTGGTACCACTACGGTTGAGGCGTGTGGTGCTCCTACCGCCCATGCCAAGCGTGATGGGGACTCTGGTGCCTTGATCGAGGCTGTTGTCGCTGTCTACCCTGCCAAGGTGGAAGATGCCACCATTACTGGATCCACACCTGCTTTGGTCACGGTGCCAGCTGAGCAGCTTACTATACCAAGTGTTTACGCCTCAGCAACGTCGGCAGCCATCGCTCAGCTTCAAGGATCAGAGCCTGAAGCTTCCACCCCAGCTGTTTCTGCTCCTCCATCGGCTACGCCTACCCCGGCAAACACATCTAGTTCGGTTGCGGCGGTACCTACTCCACAGGAAACGGCTACCACCGGCCCCGCCAAGCGTGCAGTAGCAACACCTCCATTCTTTGCTGGACGCGACTCTCGCGAGATTGCTAGCGCTTGCTCTCGAATCATCACCACTGGCACGCCGACTGTTACTGTGCGGGCACAAGCCACCGAGACGACTTACAACTACTGTGCTCAGTACCCGACTACATGCCAGAACGGTTCACCAGCTCAGATCATTGCTGGATCTTTCAGTGCGTCGTCTCAGAACATAGATGACACCTACTACACTGTCGAGTTGCCTTTCCCCATCTGTATCTACGACACGTGCAGCACCACGGTTCACCCCAGCTCCAACGGTCTGATTACGCTTGGAGGCTTTGCCACATCGGCCTACTCCAACGGCGACATTCCTGGATCGTTTGGAAGCCAGACGGTGCTCATGGCCTTCTGGGACGACCTGTACATCTACGCTGGTCAGCAGCACTACATGGACTACAGCCTGTGCGGCGATGCAGGCCGCCGCACGGTGACGTTTGACTGGCGAATGGGCCGCTTCAACGCCGCGTCCAACGGACCTCTGTACAGCTTCTCGGCCACGTTTTTCGAGGACCAAGCCAGCCGCGTGCAGCTGACGTACTTTGGCACGACGGACCAGGGCAGCTCGGCTTCGGTGGGTATGCAGGGTACCACCAACGGACAACAGGCATTCTACAAGTACTCTGTCAACCGCGGCATCATCAACAACGGTCTCCGTCTCATCTTGGATCCTCATGGCAATTACTTTGGAGAGGCTCAAGCTAGGTCTTAGGGGACTTGTTGAATACTCTCCTCTCTCTCTCTCTCTATATATATATTGTCTAATCATCTGTCATATAGCTAGCGCTGTTGTATAGCTATATATCGGGCTTTTTTTTTATCAAGTAACGTGGTTCACAAGTGAGTCGCTAACCCAAGCGAGTCGCTAACGCCCCACTAGCCCATCAACTTCATCACTATAACGCGTGATGTCTCAACAACGCAACCGTCTATTAATATATTCTGAATCTAATCTTTAACTTGCTCTTTTTGACGTCTAGTCGCAACGTGTTTAGAGTGTAAACTGTGCTGCTACTATCTACAACGTCCTACAAAGAACTCTATCTGATCAACGCGCTAGAAAGCGCCCTCGACGCGACTGCGAGCCGAAATCGAAGCGTCTAGATAAGCTAGAAGAGGAGGCTATAGTTGAGCGTATTCTTGAAGAGTCTGCGCAAGGATTTGCGCCTACAAAGCTTGACGTTCGAGTAATGGCTAATAAACTATTGGAGGAGCGTGGTGGCAACCCTGTTGGCAAGAACTAGGTTGACAACTTCGTTAAGCGGACTCCTGAGCTCCGTACGCGCTGGAGCCGTCCCTATGATCACCAGCGAGCCGCCTGCGAGGATCCAGTGGCTATCCAGCGCTGGTTCGACTTAGTCCAGGCGACAAGGCAGAAGTGGGGTATTGTGGACGACGATATCTACAACTTTGACGAGACTGGCTTTATAATGGGCAAGATTTTATCACAGTTAGTTATCACAGCATCAGAAGGATATAGGAAAAAGAAGCGGATACAGCTAGGCAACCGTGAGTGGGTTACTGTGATCCAAGGCGTGGGCGCGTCAGGTCGCCGAATACTGCCCTTTGTTGTCTTTGCGGGCAAGGTGCTTATCAACGTCTAGTTTAAGGATTTGCCTGCTAACTAGGTTCTTGAAGTCAGTCCTAATGGCTGGACGAATAATTAGCTTAGTCTTGCCTAGTTAGAGCACTTTAATACCCATACAAAGAGCTCTACTGTGGGTGGGTATCGACTGCTTATTATTGATGGCCATGAGAGCCACTGCTCTGTCGATTTCCAAGATCTTTGCAAGGAGAAGAATATTGTGCTTCTCTGCATGCCTGCGCACTCGTCTCACCTATTGCAGCCCCTTGACGTCGCCTGCTTCTCGCCGTTGAAGCGCAAGTATGGCGACGCTATTTCAGGCTTGGCATGCAACCGCACCCACTATATCAGCAAAGAGACCTTCCTACTAGCCTTTAAGACTGCTTTTAAGCAGTCTATCACGAAGGAGAATATCCAAGCTAGCTTTAGAGGCGCTGGTCTAGTCCCACACGACCCACAGGCTGTGCTATCTAAGCTTGATGTGGTGGTGCAGACACCTGTACAATCACCGCAACAGGTAGCCGCCTGGCAGGCGCAGACACCACGCAACGCGCGCGAAGTTGAGTCTTAAATTGGTCTCATTCAAGAGAGCGTGAGAAAACGCCGTGGGTCTTCTGCCAATTCACTCACTGAGCAGATCGCGCAGCTGAGTAAGGGGGCCCAGCAAATGGCACATAAAATGACGCTTATGATGGAGGAAATGGGTACGCTTCGAGCGGCTCTTGACGAGTCAAATAAGCGTAAAAGCCGCAAGCGGCGATACGTACGGACAGAAGAGACTCTTACTGTAGGCGAAGTACAAGAAGTATTAGCTAAACAGGCGGGTAGCAGTCGTGGTGATGGTGAGAGTGCGTCGAAGAGGGTGCGAGGAGAGCGGCGGTGCGGGCGTTGCAAGCAGACTGGACACAACGCTCGTACCTGCGTAGTTGAGA